TTTCTTCAATTCTAATCTTATGTCGATCGACAATTTCATGGAACTATCAAATCACTTCATTCAGATTGGAGAGGAGAGTATCGGGAACTAAATTCTTATTTTAAATAAGTTGGTATTATTCATCATATTGCATGTCCTTACACTCATGAACAAAATGGCATCTCCGAACTCAAAATTAGGCATATTGTTGACATTAGCCTAACCATTTTGGCACATTACGTTATTCCTTTCAAATTCTAGCTTTATGATTTTCAAACAAGTGTTCGGTTAATTAACTTATTGCCCACTTTCCTTTTTAAGAATAAAACACCATATGAATTACTACATGGCCGATAACCTAAATATACAAAACTAAAAACATTTAGTTATGCTATTTATCCCCTTCTCTGTCCATATAACCAACATAAATTTTCTTTTGTACTAAGATTTATGTTTATCTAGGATGGCATCTCATCACCATGGTCACTTGTGTTTAGATCCCGAAACTAATAGATTTTATGTAGTTAGACATGTTAAATTTGATGAATCCTCTTTCCCGTACCAAACTAGAGTTATCCGAGTATGAGTCCTACGTTGCCAAAACCTTCACCAACTCTGTGGATGACACTTTCAATTCCATCTCCTCCTCTCACGTAACAACGTATATCTATCTCTACTTCTTTATCCTTATCTCCAGCTACTTCGATTCCTCCCTCCCGTGACTCCAACTTCATCAATGATATAGCCTATTCCCTCTTATTCTCCGACTCTACTACAGCAGCCAAGACATTATCCCTTACATCTCATCCCTCTAATCCACCCCATGTTAGCCAACTCACTATGCTAATTATCCTTCCATTTGTCCATTCCCTTTTAGGTCTACACCTTGTGGTTTCTCTTTCTTCCTACCCGTTGTCCCATCCACTACCTCCGATCTTTCTCTCCTTTATGCTTACTCTATGGCCCTTCGTCCCTCTATCATGTAAAACTCGTCAAGCTCATATTGTGTTCAAAGAAAAACCCACCTTCAATTACCTTGCCCATGAACCATGAACTTATAACCAAGTTAAACCTTTTCGTGTCACGTGACAAGCAATTGTAGCTGAAATAGATGCATAGCCAATATCACTTGAACTCTTGTTTCACGCCACGTAAATACTAATGTTATTAGGAATAGGTGGGTTTACGGGATGAAATGCATTCTAGATGGCAAGGTTGATCACTATAAAGTAAGGCTAGTGGCAAAGGGATACACCCAAACATCATGACTCGGATTACAAAGATCCATTCAATCCCGTAGTTAAATCCATCACCATTTGGGTTCTATTGGCATTAGCTTCCATGTTTCACTAGTCCATGCGGTAATTAGATGCTTCCAATGCCTTCCTACATGGCCACCTTGCTGAACGGATATTCATAGAACAACCACAAGGCTTTACAAATCCTTCATTTCCATATTTTATATACGGGCTCAATCGCTCTCTCTCGACTTAAAACAGGCCCCTAGGGCTTAGTTTACATGCCTCAAACAGTTCCTCACCTCCTTGAAGGTCATACAATCAAAGGCAAACTCCTTACTTTTTGTACTTCGTGCTCGCTTACTGATGTAGTCTTCCCGCTAGTTTATATAGATGACTTGATCATAATAGGATCATCTCTCACACTAATTATGGCCATCATTGCTCGGCTCAAAAGAGAATTTCCTATACGCGACCTAGGTGCTCTTTATTACTTCTTGAGTATAGAGGTATCTTCTTATCCTATCGGCGTTACTTTATCCCAGCAAAAATACATTAGAGATCTGCTAATTCATAATGGTATAGAGGATTGCAACCCATGTTCCACTTGAATGGCTACCTCTCCTACTTTGTCCAAAACTAGTGACGATCCACTTGAACATGCCGATCACTATTGCCAATTGATTGGAGCTCTTCAATATGCTACTATCACATGTCTAGACATTCCATATGGAGTTAATAAACTTTTTCAATTCATGCACCATCCGACTAATAAACATTGAAAGGCTCTAAAGAGGCTACTACACTACTTGAAAGGTACTTAATCTAAAGGTTTATTTTTCTCTTCCTCTTTACGTCCGGGTTTGTAGTGCTTTGCTCGATAGTGATTGAGGAGGTGACTTGGATGATTGAAGATCTATAAATGACTATAACATTTTCTTAGGCTCCTCTTTGGTATCTTGGATGGTCAAAAAACAACCCATTATTGCTCGTTCCTCCACGGAGAGTGAATACAAGGCCATTGCCAATGCCACGACAAAGGTCATCTAGCTCCGTTCTCTCTTTGATGAAATTGGGTTTGTTGTTTCACATTCGAGTCTTTGGTGTGATAACATTGGTGTCATTTACCTCACCTCCAATCTAATGTTTCATTCTAAGACAAAACACATTGAACTAGACTACCATTTTGTTCGAGAATAAGATTCTATTGTTGCTCTCACCATTTGCTTCCTTCCCACCACGGACCAAGTCGCTGACATTTTTACCAAGCCCTTGTCCATATCTCGCTTTTAGTTTCTTAGAGACATACTATACCTCATCGATGTCCAAGGTCTTATGAGGAGGTGTCAAGATAATAACATCACGATGGACGATGAGACTCGTTAGTAACAAGACTTCCAACATCGGTAAAAGTGTAAGTAAGACGTGGATAATAAACCCGTTAGTAAGTAAGACATCTAGCACCAGTAGAAGTGTAAGCATGAAGGACATTCAATATAAGCGAGAACTATCATCAATAGTAGGATTACTACGGGATGATCGGTTACTTAACCTCCTATTTACTATCAAACACCTTGTAGTATATCTTGTACAACTATAGACATTTATCACATAGTCTCGTGTATAAATACACTTGCTTACATCAAGAATAATATAAGAGTTTTCAATATTTCACAAGGTTAACCTCACATACCCATCTAAAAATGAGAGGCCTAAAGAAATTTTATGTTATAAAGATAGAAATATAAGCGAGAAAAACATGAAAAATCAAGTTTTGTTCAAAAGACAAGACTAACAAAAGAATAACTGATTTGAACAATTGGAATAATAAATAAAAGTGATGTGAGAATGTTATAACAAATGAATGAGAATAGCGAGAAAACGTAAAGCATTGCAGCTCAAGGCAATCATGGAGCATTGCGATCTAAGGAAATAAGTTATGAAGTATTACGGTTCAAGAACATGACTAATGAAGAAGGATGTAAAAGAATGAAAATGCTATAAATACAAGTTGCAACCGAGAAACAAAGGACACACCCAATAACAAATACAATATAACAATAATACTCGTTATAAATTATCAATATCATTTTTCAAGTAGTCTCGACACTTGAAACACTATAGGTTATAGTTTGTAAATAATAATCAAGTAGGTTGTAATCAAGTAAACAATAATAATAGGTCGATAGATCACCTCTAGTTTGATTGCCACTATTATTGCAACACATGTAGATTTCATCTCTCTATATTTGAAGTTTCACTTGGTGTTTGTTCATCGGTTCCTATATCCGTAAGTTTTTGTGTCTTCAAAGTCATTGTTGTTTGTAAAGATTTTTAATTCATCATTTATCAATTTTATTTTATATTCAATTTTGCAATCTGCCACTTAGGTATTTGTTATTAATGGAAGTTAGTTTATGCTTTGAATATAGATATTGTTATCGAAATAACTTTTTTATACATGTCATATATCTACATTTCAACTTTGCAATCTAAACCTTTTAGGCAATCTAGAACTCCTTTGGTCATTGCATCCTAGCATATGTAGCAATAAACTGTTTTTATTAATATCAATGTCCAATTTCATATTTATTTAGTAGTTTTAGTCTGTCTAATCTAAAGTTTGGGAGATAGACTGTTATGCGGATTGTCTTCTAATCACTTTATAAAACATTTTGTTTCAAAGTTCTCTTAATCGAGGTCAACGAAAAAAAAAATCCACAACACCTTTCTAATTGTATATATTATATTACCGAATAATGATTAAGTCTTCAAAATGTTCTTCTAATCAATTTTTTTAACCATTAACAAATTTTTTAACCAAAATATTCTTGACTAAAAAAATTAAAGATTTAAAAAAACATAACATGAAAATCATGTTATTTTAAGTGAATTGTTTTAAGCATTTTAATCATAAGTATTTTGATCAAAATTTTATTATTTATTCTTTTAATTATTTTTCGAACAAACAAACTTAAGGAGTCATATAATTTAGGACTAGGTAGCTAAACTACTCATAAATGGTGCTAACCATCCATAAATTTGTAAGTATATACTTAAATGGTACAAAGACAACACTTAAATACAGAAAAATCAAAAGGATCGTATATTATAATTTTGGATCACATAAAAATACTGGAACTTGAAATTTACTTACTTACTTTCTCCTTTTCCTTTCTAACCAGAACTTATTAATATTTGAAAGGCATTAGCCAAAAGTTGAAAAACCGATTGATCAATGCACCAAATTCGTAGGTGAACTCCATGTTGGATTAGGTGAAAAATTTCGAATGGAAAGCATCAAACTAGGCTTATCATAATTTTCTAAGTAATTGTTTCGAAATATAATCAAGTTTTTTTTTAAACAATACACATCATTCGTAGAATTTATTTAATATAACAAATCGAAAATATATTGTAGACCTTCTCAAAAATATAACAAGTTCAATTATATTATCATGTCTTAATAAATTTATGCTACTTATAAGATTTGAAACTCAAATATAACCTAACACAACTTTTATCTAAAGAAAAAATTAATGATAGTGGGAAACAAAAAAGATAAAATTGAGAGAAATTTTTTTATTCTTTCTAAGCAAAGCAAATATATATATTCTCAACACAATGTAAGAAAGAAATCTTCTTGTCATTTTTTTGTATTATCTAATGGGAAGAGCACCCAGAGTAGAAAATTATCCGTTGGACATTTGATTTAAATTATAAATTAAATGTTTAAAACGGTTAAAAAAAAAGAAAAAAAAGGAAGCGTTGCAGATTAAAAAAATGCCGTTTGTTAATTGATTAAAACAATATAGTTGTTGTAACCCTTGCATTCATCTTATTAAAAACTATTTTATTAAAAATAATCCAACACTCCATGCTTGCTTTGTACGCTCAATATAGAAAATCAACTAGGACCTGAATCCTGACGCATCATTTTTTCAGTCTTTTTCCCAGTTTTACTGGCAGAAGGATTGGACCTTCTTAATTTACGGTGTCAGTAACTTTTATCAGCCTTTGACTGTAAAATCTGAATTGTTGGACAACGCTGGTAAAGCCAATTATTATGGGACATGTCAGTTTCCAGATAAATCCACGACCCTTGTCATTACACTCCAATATAACATATGAAAAAAATATTTATAACTCAAGGGATAGGGTTAAAAGTTCTAATTTGAGGTTATCATTCGAGATAATTTATTCTTATAAATATATTAGATTAACCTTGGAGGTGTAAATTTAAAATTGTCTAAGAAAAATTAATCTTAGATGACGAACAAGCCGTTTTAAATATACCCTTTATAATTTAACTTTTATTTTATTTTTTATTTTTTAAAAAAGATCACATCTTATTCTTGAAGTGTTAATTTTGTAGATATGAATTATAGCATATCTTTTTTAAGTTCCTTAAAAAAATTGTTTTCGGATCATTTTTCATATACCTAGAAATTAATTCTTTTTTCAGTATAACTAATGGACACCCTATAACATACAGCTTCAAATGAGAAATATTTCTCAATAATGGTTAAGTTTCAAAAGATTTAGGAATTATTGAAATTAGAACAAGGAGATATGTCTATGGTAGAGTATGTCTGAAAATTTAAATATGGGTGTTGATTTGTCACTTTTGTCTCTAGTAATATGAGCCAAAATAGGTTTAAGTGCTAAAATTTGAAGTTTCATCCATGTCTCAGCAAATGGTTATGTTGAAATTATTAGTAAGACATTTGAAGTTGAAATGGACCTGAGGGAATGGACAAGGCACTTGATGGGTAAAACACCCTTAGTTGCTAATGACCAACTAAACGAGTTATAAAACAAAAGCAATTCAAAGGAGTATAACATAATAGCACCAAGAAAGCAAGGACCTTTGAGAGGCCCCAATAGATAGAAAGAGGGCATGTTAACCATATTATGGCAAGTGTGGTTGACCATACATTAGAGAGTGCTTGATACATACCAACGTATGTTATTATCGCAAAGAATATGACCACCTAACTAAGGACTATCCCAAGAAGAATAAGGTTATAACAAAGGCACCAAGAAGGGTATACATATTGACAAGTGAACTAAGTAAAACTAACATACATAGTGAAAAGTGTGTGTGTAATTTAATGTATGATATTTGAATAAGTAAATTCCAAGGATGGAACTTTTGTAAGGAGGAGATGATTTAATATCCGAGACCTAAAACCTTTCATGATTGACTGATTATAAATGTGTTGTATAGATATTTTGGGTTAGTCAATAAAAAGTATGTTTAATAAATATGTGAATGAATTTTAACTTGATAGAATCTCTTAAAAGGTAGGAGAAAGAAAGAGCTAAGGAAGAAAGGAGGAAAAATGAGCAAACTCTAAGTGAAGAATAAATTGTTAAAAATATTAACTATAAATATCAAACTCTAAACATGACTTATAAATCAACGATTTATAACATTATGATTATAACATATTATTATATGAAAAGCTAGTAACGTGTATTATCTATTATGCAATTTGTTAAAAAAAAGTGCATATGCAGAAAAAAAATTATAAGGGAGAGAAACATTTGATTTCGTTAATTATGTTTGAGATTTTAATTTCTTTAACTTGCTGGTTGGAGTGATGACTCTTATTCATGAAAAAATAGTTGGAGTGGTTAGGCGGAGATAACCTTCAGTTAATCATGCCCATTTACCTATTTCTTAATGGCTGAGGCCCAGCTCATTGAAAGGTGAGGCTTTAACGAATCATGCCCATTTACCTAGCCCATGTGCATCACATGAACATACCTGACACATACCATTTAACTTTTTTATATATTTTTTTTGGGTAATTTCTTCCGATTATTTATAAATAATAATAATAATTATTATTATTATTATTTCTAATCAAGACTAAATAAATCATCTCTCCAACGCAACTCTTAAATTAAGTTAGCTATATAGACTGGATAGTTATAGGTGGATAGTTAATTTGGATTCAATGTCTCGTTTCTCAAACGATTTTGAAGCTCCAACTTCACACCAATTTTTTTTTTTAAATGAAAATAAATTTTTGTTCAATCCATACAGGTAGACGTGTAATTAAATTTTGGATTTTTTTTTTTTTGCCATAGATAATAATTTTATTAAATTAAAACTGAAGAAAGCTTTTATCTATCTCTAAATCAGAAGCTTAACAAGAAAAAAAAATTCTCTAGAGAATGAAATGGACTTACATGCTATGATAAATATATCTAAAAAAATACAATGAAAACCTACAGATTTAGTAAAAAAAAAAAGTTCTAAATACTATTTTTTTAACGCTTTATGTAAAACTTAGATTGCAGCCAAAAATCCATAAAAGCATAGAATCACATGAAAAACAAGAAAAAACAATCTTAATCTAAGAAAAATATCAAAAAAATTGGGCAAACACTAAATAAATTGGATAAATATAAAAAAACAACATAAGATTTAGTAAAAAGAATACTAGATCTAGGACTATTAAAAAAAAAATACTACCGTCGATGGCAACTATGGAAAAAACCTAAAATACTCTAAAAAATTCTAGAGAAAAAAACATTTGGAGAACTAATGGAATTGCTTTTGTTTTAATTAGAAGATACATGAAAGCTTTTGGAATAGGTAATAGGAATTTCAGACGTAATTATATGAACTCATTCATTTGATGTGTCTTTTTGTTACAAAATAGAAGTTCGAATTGGAACCATTTTAAGAAAAGTTAAACATTTGAGTTATAATTCATTGACTTTCATTAATGCGTGTACGTATGTATAATCCTGTTCTAGTAATTAATAATTTCTTATTTCCCATCAATGACAATATGCTAGTTCTTTAAAAAAAAAAAAAAAGGGGGGTAAAATCATATGTAGCAGCATTGAAGGAAGATAAACAGTGACATGATAGCTAGCCTCTAAGCCTCACTCGTGCAAAATTACACATTTGAATAATTGTTAGAGATTGTCAAATATCTACCTCTCAAATATCAAAAAGAAAAAAGAAAAAGATTGTCCAATCTGCAATACATGCTTTATTTTTATTTTTCTATCCATATCCAAAGCAAATGATTAATTTGATTCACAAAACATGATTGTAAACACCAATGATAATAGTGCAACATTGCACTCTATATATATTATCATTACTCGTTTCATTGAATTAGGTTTCTTACAAGATACATTTAATGATGCCTTCTTAAAATCCTTCCAATCTCCTCTTTTTAAAACTGATTAATTCTTGATTTTGTTATATACTTTCAATTTGATTAATATGCTTTAATTTTATACTTAAGTTATCCTATTTTTAAAAACTATCGATCAAGTATATTTGTTTCAAAATACCCTTCTATATATAGTGTATTTAAAGTATAAAGCACTATGGAATCATGGATAGTTTTGGAACAAAAAGTATTTAAGTGCTTGTTTATTAAATATACAAGAACTCAAATAAAAAATTAGAAACTCATGAAAATTTTGCAAAATAGAAACACTCCATTTTTACTACTTTTTTTAAAAAAAATTAAAAGTAAAATTATATAATTGAATAGTTGATCTAACTTCTTTTAGTTTAAAGAAACTCTCCACTAGAATTGAATTGGTATTTTTTTACAAAAAGGAAACATGAGATGACAAATTTAGTTTTTATATTATGTGAATTGAGTGAAAATAAAATGCACAAAATTCGAAAGTACAAGAGTTTTTAAAAACCTCCCCCTCATAATTGTAGAATAAGAGTTTTTTGTTGAAATAATTTTTTCATCTAATTAAGAAATTGTTTAGTTGTTTAAAAAAGAGGTAAATTTGTAGATAATATGTTTGTTGGGGATTTAATGATATTTTTGTGTCTATTTCACGTACATAATATTTATACATGCATATTCTATTCTCTCTCGAACTTTCTCTAACATAATAATAATAATAAGTGGGCGAGATGACATTAGAATGGTGTATGCCCGGTCAAACTAGAATTGTTTGCCTGCTTCCCTATTCTTAATTAGAAAAGAAAAAATACAAACGTTTTGTTCAAATTCGTTGATGAATAGGGACATAAATACTTGCATGAAATCCTCTTAAATTTGACTTTTGTGTGTGCATAAAGCAAAGCAAATTATTTGTAAGATTGGACAAGCTTTACTTCCACCACTGAAAATCATGTCCACTACGTACTAGTGCATTCGTGACATAAGAACCACCCAAGAAATTTAGCATCTTCGATCTAACATTATTATTAATTATATACCCAAACTTCCTTATCAATTTCTTTTAGCGGCTAATGCAACGGGATGATTTATCTTTAATTACTTTTTCTTTTAATTGGGTGATCAGAACAAATTAATTAAGCTAGGAATGGCAAATTTTTTTGGAGAATTTTATTTTTATTTCTTACACCCAATTTTCAAAAAGAGAGATTCACAAAGTGAGTCTAAAAAAGATTAGTGTATATTTCGTTGACTAATTGTACGCCAGTACTGTTAGATGTGGACGAGGAATCGAATTATTGTACAAATTCATGATGCCCTTTAAATATTTTCTCTTCAACCGTTCATTTTCCCTTTCTACGTTTTGTTTTGCACTTAGTCTCCCCAACTTAAATTCTGATCTTACACTATCCCCAAAAATACAAGGATTACTTAAATTTTGATCTTACACTTTTCCCAAAAATACAAGGATTTGAAATAGGATTAATGAAAATTTAAAATTAAACAAAAAAAAATTATCTTAATTCAAAAGGTTAAACGGTTGAATAAGATTTAAAAATAATTTTATATTACTTTTTAACATATTAATTTCAATACATAAACTCACCAGTTAAGATTTAAGAATAATTTTAGATTATTTTTTAAAATTCTTTCTCGAGTGCACATGCTCATTATTAATTTATAATTAACTAGAAAAAAGGGTAGAAGTTGTGAGATTTGAACTTATAATCATTTAATTATAAAAATTTTGATACTATGTCAAATAATATTTTAATCTAAAAATTTAAACTATAAAAAAAGACATTATAAATAATTTTATATTATTTTCTATCAAAATCAACAATCATGGTTACATCTTGAATTTTGAATTTAATGATTAATTGATTTTCAGGTTAATTTTTATATGTCAAAACTAAATCATTTTTGTGTTTAATTAAAAATAATTTATTTGCATCGAGATTCGAGGATTAACGAGAACTTTTTTCACAATTTGACTGAACTCTAGGTGGAAGATAAACATGGCAATTTACGTGCATGCCTAGTCTTCCAATGGGAGTAGTTGCTCCTAATTGGAAGGTGGAAATTTTTTCCAAATTTTGACTTTGAATAAACAAATTGCCGTATGGAACAGAAATATCCACCAAATTGGACAACGAGGGACTTGGATTTAACAAAAGGCCATAATGTTAGGTTTGGTCAAATGGAGCAATTACTTAGAGCAAGAGAGTCTTTGCAATTGAAAAATTTGTTGCAAGTCCGCAAGTCACACCCCGAAGCCGCAGAAAAATCTTGTAACTTTGCCCGTCTTTGTCATGCAAATCTACGTACTTCGACATAGGAAACCTAGTGATTTGATTAGACACAAAATTTTGTTTATATGTAATATAAAACTATATATATATTTTTTAATGTGAATCACATGTAACACGATGATGTTATAACATTATGGATTCATATCCTATAGTCATGACTCGAAACTTCAGCCTTAATGAGTAAATTTCTTGATGCAAAAATCTAAATCAAATATGGTGAACTCCATGTGAATAGATAGGTATTTTCTACAAATAGTGATTGATAAATTGTAGAGAGAAGAAACAACATTAGGAAATAAATTGGGAATCTCTCATTGGAAGCATGGCCATATTCATTTGACATCATTTTTCATCATACTAATTCACAACCATCATAGTCAACTATATGATGATATATGTGGTAGCAAAATTAGAGTAGACTATACTATATATTAGTTGCCTATCACAATCCCTCTTTAATTTGGTACATAGAGTTAGAAATCAAAATATAAATGGAATCCTATGCAAACCCAACCAATTGATTAAATAATATTAGATTCTGTATATGGCAATAAGGATAGGAATATATGATATCATGAACGTATATAATCCAATCCAAACATGCCCCTGTCAGAAACTTATAAAATCATCTTGTTGAGTGGAAAACCAAATTATTGCTAATTAGTTCAATTATTATTTACTGTAGAATTAGTTGTAAATAATTTCAAATTCGTTTTGTCCTATAAGTAAAGGTTGCTTGGTAATTATACTTTATATGTTACTTGCGTTTTTTCAATTTTTTTTCGTAAATATTTGTCTTGCTTAGGGAGTAAATTGTAAATTAGTCTCTCTCGTTTCGAAAAACGAATTAATTAGTCTTTTTATTTTTAAAAAATAATCATTTACACTACAAAAAAAACCGTCAAATAGGAACTAATAAACTTCCATCACGAAATAGCAAGCAAATAGCAACATAATAGTGTTTGTTGGAATTAACGACGGAGTAGTGATGGATTGATAACGGTTTGTTAGCGACGAAAGCTAATTCGTCGCTAAATTTAACTCGCAAAATATTCTCAAGAGTTTTAGAGATGATTTAGCAACGACATTGCTCATTCGTCGTTATTTTCAATGTTTGGATTTATTAACGAACTATTAGTCGCTAAAATAAATATCATTCGTAAATTAGTGATGGGAAATTCCGTCGTTAAAGGAAAAAAATTAAATGGACTTTTTGAAGGTCAAAACCGTCAAATTGGAGATGGATTAACAATGGACATAAAAGTCCATTGCTATATGTAAAAAATGGGCGGCCAACTTTAACTAGTTAGCGACCAATTTTTCAATAGATTAGCAACGAATGTAAGTGTTCGTCACTAATTAGCCACGAATAAGTGAGAGGATTGCTTTCATCGCTATTTTTCAATCCCTAATTAAACCTCCTTATTCTTCCTCTCCTTCTCTAACCATCTATCGATCTCCTCCCATCACTCCCTTTCCTCCCCTCTAAACCACCACCAAACTTCACTACTCCACTCTCAATCAATCCACACTTACTCCTAGCTCTTTTCTCTAAAAAACAAAAATCATTTTTCTTGCATTCTTCTTAATGTAATTTCATCCGAATTAGGTAAGTCTTTTCTTTTTTTATTTCAATTTATACTATTTAAATTTTATTTAATAAAGTATCGAGTATTAATAAGGTGTTATTTATAGCTATTTGTTGCTACAAATAATAATATAAGGCTACCGATTAAAAAAAAATTAAAAATTTCTTCATTTAGTGACAAATTTAGTAATGGAATTACGATGATTTTAGTGACTATAATTTAGCGACACTCGTCACTACTCGACATCCGATAGGACTCGTTACTTGACATTCAATAGGACTCCTAAAACTTTAAAATTAAATTTGTTTTGTTTGAATTTCTTTTATGATTTATTCTAGGGATATGAGTTATTATTGATTTTGGGAGTCACCGCCTAGTATTATAGGAACTAGGAACCATAAAAAAAAATAGCACTGGTCCGGATATTCTAGGGAAAGTAGTTGGTTATGCTTTTAAGAAGATATCGATAACCCAAAAGCATAAGTTTCAAAGAAAAGCATCCCATCTAGCTTAGTCCTAACATTTATCTCCTAAGGTGTTTTATTTGTGTCAAATTATTTTTAATTTAACTCTAGGTATTGTCTAGGCCAAATTAAGTTTTTTTTTATATATATTTATAGCATCATATTGAACCAATCATCGGATCTTTTCATTGAGAGACACGTCGGTTCAAACATCAAATCTACTTTAAGTCTCGACATAATCGGTATGTCAAAGAATGCCATATTTACTAAAGTGATTGATTTGAATTGATAAATAACATATGTCCCTATTGGAGAGAAGACTCATTATATTTGCTTAAAACTCTCTCTCTCTCTCTCTCTCTCTCTCTTGGTTCTTTTTTCTTAGTTAAACTAAATGTGTTTTATTTTGAGACAAGTGATAAAAAAATCATTTATTTATTTTTATATTTTTTTCTTTTTATTTAGAAACCATATTAAATTTATGTCGAGCCTTAAAATTTGAGAGTCTTATTAATTTAGCATCGGTTCCGAATTTAAATCTTGATATGATTAGCGTGTCAAGAAATGATACAATTAACTAAAAAGGTTTATGGGAAATGTTAAACAAAATCGATCCAATTTGACTCATTATTATTTTTCTTTAGCATTTTTATTCTTAGGTGAAATACATCAAAAACATCGTATGTCCCTAATAAACGGGAGAGTCGTTGATCCGGCATCACGATCGAATCAAAATCATCTATAAAAATAAATTTCTCACCTTAAATATTCTAATTTTTCTAGCACAAATAAAACTAAAAATTATTACAAAAAAATCAAAATAATAAAAAAAAATTAGCCGGAAAGCAAACCAAATGGTCACCGAAAATGACCAAAATGCCTTTATTATCCGGATCAACAAAACGCCTCTTTGATTCTTCTTTTTTTTTTTTTTCCCTCGATGATCTATGACATATTCAAAATTCCTTTGGATTTCAAGTGAATGTCCATGGATACCCATCCATCTATTAATCATGTAGGAACCATCTATGACTAAGAGTCTAGGAAACATAACAAACCCATATTATAAACACAAATTTAGTATGAGTCTTATTCCTATCCGGACATTAATAATCTCTTACAATGCATAGTCGCTTATGAACTTTCCATAAGCTCTTAACAAAATTATCCACCACGACCTCGGAATCAACGGAGGCAATACGCCTAATGGTTGATTCATAAAAATCAAGATCCAAAACCTTCTCAAGACCTTCATCACTTTCATTAAGAGGCACTCGTTTTAACTTTAAAAGTTACTAGCATTAACCTTTACCCGGGATTGTAATAGTCCATTGTTTTCTCTTAAATTTACAAATGCAAAGTGTATGGAAGAAAATTCTTTACAATCTCCTTTTCTCCATTATACAAGCACACAAGTGTAGATGGAACAAAATCATGAATACAAACTTGGGTCATAATTCAATGGTTGGTTGTCGGCAAGATCATTAGTTGCAATAGTCCCTATTGGATTCTTATAGTAATTCACAATGGCACCTCAAAGCAACTACCATACTTCCTTCTCAATCTCGGACACTTCTCTCTCAATAACTTTAGGAGTGGTCTTATTCAAATCATTGAAAAAGTCTATATTGGCACTTGGATTTATTAATCTTTACACTACTACTAGAGTTTTCCTTTTTAGAAGTATATAGAAAGTTCTCTGGTTGTAGATCTCGAGTGCACCACATTTTGTTGTTTGTATTTATCTTTTTATTCATCGTAAGAAAGATCTCAAACAAGGGGACCCCACTCGTAGTTGTAACAAGCTATCGTAGGCTATAACTCCTTGTTACATATCTTTTATGATCCGTAGTTATTTGTATAATTAGACCATAAGGATCATCGGCATCTTCGAAATTCCGGACCACCATCCCACCAATCTAGTGCTAGCATTATCTCGTAAGAAAGTCTGCCTTTAGGTAACACCCTAAAGGTAATGCTCTATTCAACTATGTCATCACTTTGCCAATAGGATCATTTGTGGTTGCGACTGCAATTGCCACTTTAAGCCTTGCGAGCATCTTCATAATCCTTTCGTTTATAGCATTGCCTAATTGTAACTTTAAAAACAAAAAAAAAAACATTAGTATTCATCATCTTGATCAAAATGCAATCTCCAACGATCCTAATCCCATTCAATTTCACCATTCCCATCTTCTCCATCCTCTATACTTTCTCCCTCAAAGTCCCTTTTGTTACTAACTTCATTTTTCTCTTCTTTTTTAATTGAATTCATATTAGAATCAAACCTCTTCATTGCATTCTTAATCACAATGGGTAACATAGCATCACATTGACATTAAATCGAAGAGTTATTCAAAGAGGAAAGCAACGACAAAAAGTGAAATAAGATAAAAGCCTAGAAAGAACGTAGTGAGAAGGGAATCGAAGTTTTGATGAAGGGTATAAAAGTCCTTTCATTGCTTATAAAGGTAAGTTTGTATGGAGATAGTAGTGAAATTAAAGCCATACAGAGAGAGAGAGAGAGATAGATAGATTAGAGGGATGCGGGTGAGATAAAGAGATGCGTTATAGGAGGAAGGGTGAGTGGTTAATGTGAGAATGGAGATGGAGGGTTTTCAACGACTAGAAAAGGGTGGCTCGTGCAAATGAGGATCAACGAGTAAGGGTAAGGATAGAGATAGAAGATTTATGGGAAAGGAGAAGAGGAAGTTGTTTTAAGCAATTGCAACGACTAGTGTTTTTTTTTCTTTTCAAAATCATCCGGAAAATAAAAGTGTTAGTGTAGGTGTCCAAGATATAATCTCGTTTGGATGATTTGACTTATTATAATATTGTATTCTTTATTTAATTAATATAAGAAGTCTTTCTACTAATTTTTATCCTTTATATTTTGATAAAATCATATAGAAGTCCATATGATATGCATTGCATTAATATTGATCCGGAGATGTGAGATAAATATTAATGCACTTAAATGATATAATTAAATATCTCAAGTCGTAAGAGTGTCAAGAATAGGCATCGACTATATGTGGTAAGACTTATGAGTGCTATGCTCGTGGTATAAAATAGAAGTAGGAGATCTCACTCATATTAGCATGGTAATGTTAAAGCAAGAACCTATTAACATGGTGATGTCAAAGCAAGCACTTAGGTGATTAATGTCGGAGAACGTATCACTTGGATGTGACTCACCGGAAAAACCCTTTTGATTTAGTTTATGGGAATATCATACAAGATGAGTACAACTGATCCTTTGACTTAAAGTCATCACGATTATCTCATTAGAGAATTTATGTAATTTGACACTCGTTTCAATAGACTTAATCAAAAGCTACACATGGATGATTTGTTGAGTGCACTAAGAATCTAATGAAGATAGGTAGATGACTAGGATAGGACATGTCATTTCTTATATGCTAAAGAAGTTATCACATTGCACTTCGATAAATACCGCTCAAGGAATATATGATCACGGTAAAAGTATACCAATAGAGTATAGTTGGTTTACTCTAAAGCTAAGACATTTGAGAATTGAAAAAAACTTATGTGATTATAATCGAACAGATTATAAACTAAGTTCAAGATCACACTATGATAAATTGACATGAGGAATGAATTATATAATAACCATACTTGTGAAAGGTAATCGCGAATTAATTAATCATCGTAAAGAATTGAGTAGTCATGGTAGCTTCCTATAAGTCAATCTTGATTTATGTATTAAGAGATAAAAGATGTGTCTTTTATTCTTAATACATTGCCAACATATCTAGGAGCCTATTGAGTCATACGCATAAGTTTAAGTATTCACATAATAATAATAATAAAAAAGATTTTGAAAAAGTTTTTCGGTTTTGAAAGTTTCCTATTTTGAAAAAGGTTTCTCAAAATGAAAAGTTTTCTATTTTGGAAAAAATTTCCTAAAATGAAAATTTTTCTATTTTAGAGATCAGTTTTCTAATTTGAAAGTTAGTTTCAAATTTAAAAGTCGATTATCTAAAAAAATTAGTTTCCTAATTTCGGTTTAAGAGTAATTTGAAAATTTGTTTCTTACTCGTGGGTTTCCTAAAAATATCTAACTTAATTTATTTAGATGGTCCAAATTAATTGATAATTAATTGGGCCAATAGGCTTAATTTAAAAGCTTGTAAGATATTTTGATGGGAGGATAAACTTGAGTCCTATTGTATAAACTTGAGTCCTATTGTATAAGGCTCGGGATTTATAAGGATAAGATCAAACAAGCCCACACATATTATAAATCCTTGTCTTTGGAGGACAAGGATGCCGCCCTATATAAATAATAGGGAGAGAGCGGTAAGGAGGAGATAACAAAAGAGACACATACGACAAAAAGAAAAGAAAAAAAGAGAGAAAGCATTCTCTTTTAAAAAGCATGAGTCGTTGTATTCCTTCTTAAAGGCTTGAGTTATTGTAAAAACCCTAACCGATTTCTTTAGAAAGCAAATCAACTATACAAAAGGATTAGAACTAGCACTCTGTGATTTATGTGGCTTCCTTTTTAGGTGTTTAAGTTATGTGGATTATCGATAGAGGTCGGACACTTTGACGACTTCTTTTTGTAAAGGCTAAATCGAGCTACAAGAGGTAAATTTTTTACTTACGTTTTTAATTTATGTATGTATGATTAGTTGATTCAATGACTTAATCTTAAGAGCTTTAGATGGAGAAAAATTTTTGTTTTATTTTGCACTTTTATAAGATTCATGATCCTTTAGAAAGGGGGTAAGTTCATTTATTTTTGGGTTTGGCTATGGCAATTACCCTTTTTACAGAGTAGGTGGCCACCAAGCTTTTATGTTTTTTCATTTTGGAAGACGAATAGTGGTTAGGTTTTTTTTTTTTTTTTTTCCTTTAGGATTGAGAAATTATGGAGACTAGTTTTTTTTTAATTACTAATTAAATGAAAAAATGATAAAAAAAAACTAAGTTATTGAAGTAATTGAAATACGAAAAATTAAATGATTAGTTTTTTTGAAAAATAAAACTAATTAATTTGTTTCTCTAAATAAGAGAGATTTATTAATAATTTACTCCTTTAGGTTTGGAACGGGATGAGTTCTAGCATTAGCTTGAAAAGTATTGGAAGACAGTGGTGATGGTGATGACATCTAAAATTTTACATGATTAATTTGTGCACGCCCTGAATTAATGGAATACCAATAAGCAATCCGGGAATTTCTCTAGAAGATTGAGGTAAAAAATGATGACACTTTCCATGGTATCGGGATACTAACAGGAAAAAAAGGAAATACTTTCTCAATAAGAGAAAACTGTTGCTGTAGTTCTATGGCCTCTTTGCTATATGGCACCCTTTCGGTGCTATTGCTATGGCAATCATGTCTCTCACCCACAGGTATCATAATGAGCTCTCAGCCCTAGGTTGTCACCGCACACGGACGTTTATCTATAATTCTATATATATAATTGATGAGATAATGAATAAAAATTAAAAAAAAATAAAAGGTGATGATAATTCAGTTTCACATGTTTGTCTAAGAAAATAATATAATTGAAAACCATAAATGTCTCTCACCTTCATCACCTTTTTAATTACTACTGTTTTCTAGCTTATGCACATGAAAAATATTTTCAATCGTTACACCACCAAATTTCGCTTGTATTTATTTTTATTTTTATAGTGAGTAGTATTCTCAATTCAAAACTTTCTTTTGTGCAATTTAAAGAACAGATCGGAAAAAAAAATTGATGGTAAAAAGTCTTATCAAATTAGTTAATGCAGTAATTGAAATTAAATTATTAAATTATTTTTTCGAATGATTTTAAAAATGATTACTTAAATTAGCGTCGTATATTCAAATAAATTTAATAAATGACATTGAATATTAATTACAAAATTTAATCTAAAAAAATAAAAAATAAAATATATTTTCTTAATCACCATATCAATTTCTTATAATTAAAAGGATTGATTGAACTTCAAGAATCAAATTAAAAGTGATCCACGTGTAACTTATCCTATCATGTAAAAGTAATTCAACTTGTCCTAAAAAAATTCTTAATGGTAAAGGAGGAAGCAAAAAATTTAATCCACACTGACCAAAATAAATAAATAAATAAGAAACGCAAAAAGAAGATTAGATACTCAATAAAATAAGAAGAGGTAGGAGAAGAAGAAACAGACAGAAGTGGAGCTGAAGGATTAAAAAAAAAAGAAAAAAGAAGCCAACACCAACAATATTAAATAAAAAATAAAAAATCCTGCAAAAATGGAAAGCCCAAAGTTCCCTTCAACAAAATCATCTCTTCTCTTCTGTTGGTCTACTCAACGTACAAATGATGCAATCAGACCGACCAGACGTAACCCATAGTGGGTCCCATCCTCTTTGTTTATTAGACCCCACCACCCTACGTTCCCCTCCTCATCATACCCATCTATTTCCATGGAACCCACCTTCCAGGCCTCCCCACGTGTACCTCTAGTCTCATGTCAGCCGTCCATCATACCTCATCATCAAATTTCCTAATTATCTCAGAAAAATTATCACAAAAATTCAGTTTTTGTAGAGCAAAATAATAAATGGGAATTGATTTTTTTGGTTAGCTCAAATTGAAACTTAATAAGAATGAAAATATCAAAGATAGCAAATTTATTTTTTGTTATTCATGTCACATAATCATGAGGATTTTATTAGATATCTACTCTTTTAAACACATATATTTAACTCCTCCAAATAAAATAGATTCTATTATATTTTTTTATGATAATATTTTAAGAATAAATGGATCCTATTACATTGAAACAAATTATTGGATATTTTAAAAATTGTATTTCTTTTTCTTATAAAACTATGATATCTATTATAAAAAAATATATATTTATATATATAAAAAAAAGAGTACGTGTGTGTGTATTCATGCCTACTATTCAATAATTTCTAAAAGATTCCAACTCACACGCACTTGTATGCTACGCACGCAAAGCAAAGAAAACAAACTCTCCCTTTGACCAAAGACTCCCAAAAATAAAAAGCCGAAAAGAATACGATTAATTAAATCCTGATTTTTTTAGGAAAAAAAAATGTACTCAAAAAGTAAAATCTGACGTCACCGAACCTTTGACTCTCTTTCTCTTTAAACCCACCCTCTCCACTCTCTCCCGTCCCTCCACTCTCATTTTTCTCTCACTTTCTCAGCACTCAAACAGCAAAAAGAAAACACACAAAAAAAAAAATGGTGAGAGACGTTGATTTGTACGTCACAGTCCCTAGTTTCTTCAGGTGTCCAATCTCACTTGACGTGATGAAATCACCTGTCAGTCTCTGTACTGGAGTCACCTACGACCGTACCAGCATCCAACGCTGGTTAGATAGCGGCAACAACACTTGTCCCGCCACCATGCAGGTCCTTAACAGCAAGGAGTTCGTTCCCAACCGCACTTTGCAGAGGCTCATCCAGATCTGGTCTGACTCGGTCCAGACTCAGAACGACCGCCGAGCTGACTCATCCGCAAACTCGGTGGTCGCGAGGGAGGAGATTGAAGTTTTGGTGAAAGAAATGAGAGCCCAGAAAGAAAAAATTGATCATTTGTCGAAATTCATCTGTTTCGCCAAAGAATCTGAAGAGAACTGCGAGTTCTTGGCGAAATTTGATGGGTTTGTGGAAATGCTTGTTGGGTTCCTTGGTGGTGATAAGGACATTAATTTTATCGAACGAGTTGTTAAAATTTTGGTTTTGACTTTGAACAAAGTTGGAGACTACAAGGCGTTAAGGTTGTTGATGTTGAAGCAAGACAATGATATTGGCTCTCGAGATTGTATGTCTTCGCTCCTTCTTCTCTTAAAACAAGGAAGAAGCGTGAACTCACGAGTTGGAGTCCTTAAACTCATCGAAGCTGTAGCTATCGATGCAGAGTCTAAACAGATGGTTGCGGAGAAGGAAGGGTTCTTGCTCGAACTGGTGAAATTGGTGGGTTTAGAAAATGATCCAAGCTTGATCGAAGCAAGTTTATCTTGTTTGATAGCGATTTCTATGCCAAAACGTGTTAGAATGAAGCTAATCAATTTCAAAGTAATTGGAGAGTTGAGAAAATTGTTAACGGGAGGGCAGAACGCGAGCGTTTCGATCATAGAAAAGGCATTGAAGCTGCTAGAAATGGTAACATCATTCAGGGGAGGGAGGGCGGACTTTTGCAATGACGCGGCGTGTGTTGAGGCTGTGATGAATAGAGTGCTGAAAGTTTCGAGCGATGCGACGGAGCATGCGGTGATGATATTGTGGAGCGTGTGCTATTTGTTTAGAGATCGAGATGCGCAAGATGCAGTAGTGAAGAGTAATGGATTGACCAAGATATTGTTGTTAATGCAAAGTAATTGTTCACCTGGTGTTAGGCAAATGTCTGGTGATTTGTTGAAGATTTTCAGGGTGAATTCTAAGTCTAATTATTGTCTTTCTAGTTATGAAACTAAGACAACTCACATCATGCCCTTTTGATCGTTTTTGGGTGTGCCTGCAAATATAATTTCTCTCTTTTTTTCAAGAGAAAGAGAGAGAGAGAGGTAAGAGATTTTCTTGCTCTTGTAAATCAAAAGGAAAATTTTGTTAGTGAATACAAAAGGAGAATCAAATTGTTTGATTTTGAATAGATTTTCTTTAAATTCATGTTTTCTTTACAATCTTGCCCTGTAAATAAATCTGAAAAAATAGACGATTTGATACAAAATTGATCTCGTGTTTAAATTTGGAACTTTCCATTCACCAACAGTAGAATTTTTCTAGCCAAGTAATTGGAAGTCCTCTTGAAACCAAACTGTGGTCTACCGCCCTTCTCATGTGCCATTCGCAGTTATAGCATGCAACAGTGGCAGTGAGACAGTGGGGATCAATAATTACATTGGAAGAGAAGCAATAGTAGATGCAAGGACTAGTTATTCAATGCTCAAATTTATCGCGTCTATGGTTTGAATGAGGGGATTGATCCAAGATGTAGTCTAGAAAACCGGCATGAGCAGACCACAAGATTCAATAGTACCCATGTCAGTACCGTAGCAGCCTCGTTTTATTAAGATTCAGATCCCAACTTCGGCATTAACGCACACATATCGGTGTCCCATGGTAAAAGGAGGGATTCAGTTTTTGTCCAAGAGTTGAAATCACACATTAAAAACTGAAGTGTTTTGTCTGTGTATGGGGTTGTTTAGAGTTCAGTGCATTCTTCTTGGGATCTATGTTTTGGTTATTTTCATGGTTCATGCAAGAAATAGAGATGATTGCTTCAGTTTTGGCACTTACTTTCATCTGCCTGCCATAATATTAATGGCCGTTGAATTGCATTGTAATTTTCCTCCACTGATTGATGCCAAATGGGACCTTAAGATTGGTGTGCGGTTTATTCTTGTAAAAGCTGCTGATAAAATGGAACACAAGCATGAGCTGGAATTGCACTGCCATGAATTTTTTATGTCTTCTTTACTGGATTGTTTAGTGGTAAGAATAACAGAGATTCCGGAATTCAGCAACCTGTGAGCTTAGAGACAGAGAAGCAAAGTTGGAGAAACTTTGATTACAAACAAAACTGATTTTGGTGTGCTTGGATTAACTAGATTAAAAACAAACAAACAAATTAATTAAGAGGTTTAGAGAAAGAGAGAGAGAGAGAGAGAGAGACCACAATTTCTGTAAATGGGTTTGCTTTGCTGACTAATATATTGTCTTCCAAGCAATGTATCTCTCTTTCATTTACGATTTGCTTGTTTGATAGCACAAAGGAGTGAAAGTGATCGGAATCACTATCCTATAAAGAAAAACTTGTTAAAAGAGATCGAGAAAGATGCATATATATATATATATATATATAGGTTTGACCACTCCAATCCCTATGAAAGTTCAAAGCTTGCTTGGACCTTATAAAATTTGATTTGAAAAGAGATGGAGCCACTTAAACCAAAGCAAGGGATTAATTACAATTTAATTAAGTAATAATATATTATACGAAATGGGGTTTGGAAAAGGGTGGGGGATAGGTTGCAACATGCACATCAAAAGTTGGCAAAGGATGGTTCCGTAAGCACTTGAGAGAGAGGTCCTTTACTTTATTATTCCTTTTTGTTGTTCTCATTCTTTTTATATTTGGCGGGTTTAATGGGTGGAGTGGATCTTTGTGTGGTTGATGTTTTAATCCTAAGATAATAACTATGACCAGTTGGACTATATATATATATATATAGTGGTTAAAAAGATACATTAATTTTATTTTTTGATTTTCTGAATTTAAATTTTGAAATCATACAAAAGTTGAAAAAGTTTATTCATTTTTTGTCAATATATCAAGTTAATATGAAAGGTGCGTGTTTGAAATTGTATAAAAAAAGATTTGAACTCAATTGATGCATACCAAGATACATTTTATTTCTTGATTTTCTGAATTTAAACCTTAAGTTTGGATAATATTTAAAAACTATATATATATATATATATATATATATATTCAAGATGTAGCAAGTTAATATGAAAGTTACGTTTTTGAAATTATTTCGAAAAAAAATTGATACCATTTACCACAGGAAAAATGAAGTCACAAGAGTTGTAGGAGTAACTTATAAATTAGCCCTTTTATTTTTTTAAAAAAAATTAATTAGTTTTTTTTTATTTCAAAAATTAATTATTTAATCATTTTATCTGCATTGACCATGTTTAATTTAATATTAATTTATCTAAAAAATATAATATTTTTTCATCAATTTTTTCTTTTTTTTTTACTTTTTTAATTATTTTTTTAACAAAAATCAAAATAAATTGATAAAAAAATAAATTACAAAAAAATATTAAAATATTAAAATTAAATTTTTAATTTTTAAAATAAGAAAAAATAATTAATTTATAATTTACTAGAGTTCCATATAAGTTGGTGTAGTGCAAATTGTTGGTTGTTTTTAGTGGATGTGTCATTATTCTCTATATATATGGGGTACAATGTTGGATCAACATGGACGTCTCATGTGAACTTTTTTATTTGACTGATGAGAACTCCTGGTATCTTCAAGCAAAGCTGATAGATATATATTATTGGATTTTCAAGTGCGGACCTTACATCACCATGGATCATTTTACAATCTTCCCAAAAGTTAAATAATTTTGAGTTCGATGGAATAGGCTTGACTGATAAGCTACTCTAAGGATCGATGTGAAGGAAGGTGGCAATTGACTGATTGATACATGACCTTAATAGCTCTTGTTTTGTTTTGGTTTTCTTGTTTGTTGCTGTTGTGATTTTTGTTGTTGTCTCTTGCAATGTCTCCCACCAAGCATTTATTTATATATATATATAAATGAAAGAGAGACTGATGCTAATTTTCACTGAATAATTTGTGCTTGTTTGTTTTTATTGATGTTGCTTCACCTGCATTGCAATTTCTGTCATCTAGCATAAAGGAAAGAGAGAGTGGCGTTAAATCATCTTAATAAAAATTGACCTTCTTTGTTCTCATTGTTCTCTTTGCATGTCGTATATGGCAAGAGGACAGGAAAGTGATGTTACCTCATACTTGGTTGTTTACTGAAATTTTGATTATGTTATATTTATTATAGTTCTAAACAACGACCCATAGATAATAATATAACGATCGTTATTTAACATATTTATATATATAACGGTTATTCTTATACATTGTTTAAAAAATATAATGACATTTTATATAAATAACGGCATTATATATCGTTATTGACATATAATTTCGCTATTAATTTGGTAAACAACGACCGATATATTATTTATATCTTTTTATTTTATTATTGTTCATATAATATTAAATTATTAAAAGCATTATTAACTCTATTTTATTATAAATTCATCTATTGTTATATGATAGTAAAATATTAGAAATGTTATTATTATCATTAATTAGTAAAACTATTAAAAATAAATTAATTAGACTAAATTTATTAATGGTTGTTAACTCGTTAATACATTTACAATATTGGTTAGTCGGTATTTTATTATCACGATAATTTATAATCTATAAGCGTGATCTCAATTATTTTTACAATAAAATTTGTGATTTAAAACTATAATATCTACAACTATCAATGAAATTATTCACTTTGAACATCCGATAAAAGAAATACAATTATGGAGGTTTTTTTTTTATCATCTATGTCTAATTTGATATTTTTCATCTTTTCTAATAGTTTTTTCCTGCTATGATATCTTAATTCAATATCAAATTCAAAATGTTGAGAGAGAACAAATTCATTTAGCACCTGGACGAACATCTCAATCAACTTTTAGGGATTGTATTATAAGAATGGTTGACTTCCTTTACTCTAGAGTGTAAAATTCTAAAGTTTGATAAGTGGAAATTTTTTTAGAAAAATTGTTTGTGATTTGCTTAAAATCTCATATTTCATGCAAGGTAAGATTTCTAAAATACCTATTTTCGTCTAAAAAAACTGCCCCTAAATATATCGAATTCGCAGCTATTCAAGAGTAGAAGTGTTTCCTTTTGGGCTAAAAGGAAATCCAACCAAATATGTTAACCTATGGATCGGGCCATGCTGTCCGTGCTCTGCAATACTTTTCTTTTCTTACTATTGCTTAATTGCTCCTTCTTGGGCCAGACATATCACCAAATTCTTTAACTCCAAATTCGAGCATTTTATTACTCCACTGCCCCTTTTTCTTTTTTTGGAGCCAAATTTGAATTGCAGGCAAAAAATGTAGCCCACATGGAATCTGGAATTTTGTGTGTGGCTGATAGCGTTGAAAATCAAATCAGAAATTACAAAAGACATTACAAGGCATGAGTTTTTGAACAGTAATTACTATCCATAACTTGTTCATTTGCCTATATTTATTATTCACTTGGTGGCAATTTAAGTAATTTTAACCGGTGATTTTTTTTTTTGATTTTTTGAGGGTTTTTTTGACATTAATTTACAAATTTAATACCTTTTTCTTATTTAATCCCTCTTATTTTTGCATAACATTTCTAATCTCTCATATTTTCAAAACATATTGTGGTCCTTGGATTGAGAGATAAGAGACAAATAAAGAAAGAGAAGAGAGGAGAGAGAAACATGCAACTAACGTCCCACTAGACTAGATTCCAGCCATTTCTTTGCCAAATCTTGCATTCAAATTGTTTGTCTTGGCGAGGAGTGTGCATTTATGGTCTTTTCAAATTATAAAATGTTTAGATAAGATACATCGAAGCCCAAAACAAATTTAACTTTTCGATTTGATTTGTAATTTTTTTTAATGTATATTGAAATGGTTTTTAAGATTCTAAACGAGTTTATTGACCTTATTTCGATGATTTTGAGACAAAAATATTACTGAAAATGGGTTTTGGGGCCTTGAAAATGTAACATCGATTTTTCAACGAGGATTCTGGTAAATGAAATTCATCAAAAGTTGTAGGGTTTTTCTTAGGACCTACCTCTCCATCCTAGGCACACATTTTTTTTATAGCAATTTTTGTTTTTTATAATTAATATCAAATTGGGTGCTAAAATATGAAAAAACAATCATTATTTTTTTTGGATTTTTACACATACTAATAATTATGAAATATATGGGATGTTTTTTCAAATTTTATAATACACACACATGTGCCCCCACGCATACACACACAGTATATATATATATATATATATATATATATATATATATATGTGTGTGTGTGTGTGTGTGTGTGTGTGTGTGTGTGTGTGTGTGTGTGTGTGTGTTATTTTTTACTATTTAAAATTGATCTATTCAATTTGTCGGTTCTTAAAAAATTCTCATCGAATTATTTTTGTTAATAATTATGATTTATTTTTCTCTATGTATATATATTTCCGAATGAGTTTTTTTTTTTTTTTAAATAATCAATTAGATAATTGAATTCAAATGTTTTATTTCATTATTTTTTATATAACTAAATTTTATCGGAATCAATTTTATACTTGTTTTTATTGTACTCCATTAACTTCAATTTATTCTTTATATTTTTTTTAAAAAATATTTTTTGATTTATACCGCACACTCGACCGACTAAGTATGATCATTATCACCGCCCGACGTTCGTAGAGACTCTTAAAAGTTTATGATTTATTTATGGCAAATTCCTTATTTGTTTAGGGATGTGAGTTATTATTAATTTTGGAATCGCAAGCTAGTATTGAGGGTAACTACAAACTTAAACTAAATACTAGTTCAAAGATTCTAAAGTAAAGAATTGGTTATACTTTTGGGAAGATATCAATCACCCAAAAGTATCATTTCCTAGGAAAGGTACCACGTTTGATTTAATTCAAAAGTTTATCTCCTAAAAATTTCTACTTTTACCAAAAATTAATCCTAAGTAAAAATTCCAAGTTTTATTTCCTAAGTCAAATTAATTTTTTTTTAGAGCATCATATTAAATCGATCGTCAAACCTCACCATTAAGAGTCTTGTCAATTCAACATTAGATCCGAGTTTAAGTCTCGACGTAATCGATATGTCGGAGAACGATCTCATTATTAAATATGATTGATTTGAGTTAACGTCAATATGAGATTTTGTTAATTTTTCAACTAGCATTTTCTCTATTTTTCTTTTGTTCTTTTTCTCTTTTTCTTTTATTATTTTCATTTTTTTAACATTTTATCTTTTCTTTTCTTGTATCATTTTCTTTTCCTTTTTTTTTATCCTTTTATCATATATATATATATATATATATATATATATATATATATATATATATATATTTTGTCGGTGAGGAGTAGTCATTAGTTCCTAAAAATTAGAAGACTCAATGATTCATCCAACTATTAATCATCTAATCTAATTATTGAAAGAATTTTTTATAAAAAAAAAACTAAACATTGACTAAATAAATAAATATGCATAAAGAACTCAAAAATTCAAAAAAAAAAAAATCTAAACTAGGCATAAAAATAAAAGACATGAAAAAAGAATCAAGACGTTTTTTAAATTTTCATATTAAATAATCAATTTACATTATTATAGATTTTTATTTAAGAATTAATGCATAACGAAGAACAAATTATGTTTTTTAACAACAAAAAATATGAAAGACATAAATAAGAATTAAATAAAATATAAAATTTTGATTAAAAATTATAAAATTAAATGATTTTTTCCTTCAATTCAATATATTGTAGTACATTCGTGACATAACGTAAATTATTAAACTGAAATCATTTTGTAAATTAATTTTACATATTCTATCTCACACACACTATAGCACTAGCAACCAACTAATTTGTGTCTAAACCACATAATTCTAATAAATTCTAAACTGTATGGTCATTTTGATGAAACTCTGTCCACTGCTTACTGCCTATGGTAACTTAGAGAAGAGAAAGGTAAATATTTTGGTTGTGATCGATGCCATCGGTGCCTTGTCCAAGGGTAACCAAAATCATTATCTTGTAATTCACAGAGAACAAGAAAATCATTTTAACCTTAGCATGGTAGTCTTGCAACAAGAACCTTTTATTTTTTATTATTAAAGGACTGTAGCTTTTCAAATTCTATGAGTTATGTCCTTGGTTTCTTAGCTAAATGATATAATATTTTACGTTTGGTTGGTCCTATCATAGATACGAGGGAATCTTTTTAAATACATGTATAAAATATACAACGTTTGAAAACAAGTCCGGAAACACTTGTATTACTGAAAAAAAAAAAAATCATTGTTTAGCTACACGGTTAGCTTATATAAGTCTTTTTTTTTTTTTTTTGAAGGGAGGGGGGGGGGGTTTGTTTCAATAGAAGCTTTTTCCAAGTTCAGAATTTTGGCATCTCTGAATTTAGGTAAAAAAATACATTATTTTTCTCTTCTTCTTTTCATTTTTTTTTTATAATATCCAAAAATCTAAGGGAACAGTCTCTGCTGGCTTACAATTACAACAATATATAAATAATAGATTACAGAACGCGGTGGGAATTTCAGTTGGGCTAAGGGCCCTTATCTGGTGGAATCCAGGCTTTCTTCAGTCGTCAGTCAAAAGACGCATTAGATATTCCACAATTTCAGGTTTGAATCCGGCTATGCTGGGCTTTGACTGTAGTTTTCTCTCAAGCCAGCATAGAGAATATTAAAAAGTGGACCGACTTCAAACTCCTTTGGATACTTCAATGAATTAGTAATTATCTCTTCAAAGAAAATGGCCATCAAAGTTCCATGAGAGAGAGAGAGAGAGAGAGAGAGAGTAATGTGTTGCATGTAATTGAAAATTGGTCCTTCGATTAATTGAGGTCATTCGCCTTGAAATTGGACGTCATTGACTCACCTACCACATTTTTCTATGATTCCCTATTAAACCAGTGTTGGAGTAGACATCAAAACTTTGATAGTATTTGATAAATGTTCAATATTTTTATGGCTTTTTTTTTAATAATCTTGCTTTGCGTTCCAAGGCTAGTTAGAAATGAGGGCCCAGGCTCACCGGGCCGGCCTGCTGTGTCCAGGCTGTGTTGACTCGAACTAATTTCAACCACTGTGCCATTCTTCTCCATGTTTCATTTCCGGGATTCTTGGGCTGGCCAGCTGTCAACTCTGACTACATTCCCGGCCACCCCACTGGCCGCCTGTGATTGATCATTCAGTGTCTTCCTCATTCAATGTGTCTGTGTCTCCCATATGTTTGCTTTATTAATATTGCATTTATTTTAATATTTTAACAAAGAGCCTTCATTGTTTTGCCTTCAAAAACAGAACTCCCATCAATTTATGTGAATTTAAAAATATTTGTTATTCATTTCATCAGGACTGGTGTGCTGTTTCTCCATGCATCTCATGGTGTCCCCAGCTGACATTCAGAAGGCTCTGACTCAGAGCCAAAAGCTTTTAGGCAGCTGGAACAGCAGCATTCCAAAGCCGTGGCCCTGGTGAGCAAAGCAGCAAGAACTCAGCTCTGCCCTGTCAGCCTATGAGGATATCTGTGTGTGTGTCTGCCACCGCGCGCGCGCGCGCGCGCGTCTGTGTGTCTCTCCATTTCTCTGTTCTTTCTCTTCCAACCGTTGGGAAATCTCGCCTCCTTGCCTTCACTCAATCCTCATTTTTAAACATGTAACCCAGCATATTACCCTGACACTTAAAATATGAAAATTTTTCCCTCCTTGCTTTTAAGCTGCTCTCAAACATGATATTTTGGTGGTATATTTTATATGCTGTGAACATTTATTTTCCAGCATTTTACCGTTTCAAACATTATTTAGTCAATTAATTCAGTTGCCGAACGGAACCATTTTTACCATTATATATATAATTTTAAATTTTATTATTTAATTATGTGAACAATAGGTTCTCTCAATGTTGAATAGAAAATACATAAATTAAGTTTTTTTTAACAGGAGTAAATTTTTTTTTATCAAAATTTTGTTATTAGCTGAAATGACATGAGATAAAAAAACACATTGAAAACGAAAATTTGATTATCTTTGGTTTTTTAAAAAAAAATTTATCTCCAAAGTATCAAAAACTTTTAATTGAATCTTACGTGAATATTCGTCAATGAATTTCTGTCTGAAGTGCGTGTTTCATGCCATCAAATGGTATTGTTTTGAATATTAACTGAAAAAAAAATGTATTGATAATGTTTTGAGGGAAGAATATGATAAATCTGTACTGGAAAGATTCAACTAAAAATTTAAAACCTTTGTAAACACAAAGGATAAAAATTTTGAAACTTATTTGAAATTTATTATGTAGTTTGGGATTAATGTAAAGTTTAATAATAATAATAAATAAATATATATCCAAATTATATATGATATCGGATAAAAATTTTCTGTAACCCGCGTGGGAAAACACATTATTCCTATCAATAGGTGTCATGGTATAATGCTGCACTATATATGTCAGCAATATTAATAATGTTTTTGAGTGAATATGTTCTCTTATTATTTTTTTATCTCGATATAAATTAGTTTTTACTAGTTTTTTTTTTATCCGCGCTATACTTGTAGATCGGACAAAACATATAAAATTAATTTTATTTTGATGTTTCGTGTTATATTGTGCATATATCAAAATATATCAAATTAAAACTGAATAAAAATTTATTCAATTTTATATTTTTTTAATCGAAATTTTATATGTGACTGATTATTCTTTATATTTTTCATAAATTTTTTATTAAAAACATTATTTATTTATCTCTATTCACAAACTAAAAAATTTATAATAGTATAAAAATACCAAAATCAATGGATTCTTAACTAAAAACTTATTTTGTAAATTATTTTTTCTAAACATTTTTTTCCTTAAAATTTTTAATTAAAAAAATCAGAGAAAAAAAGAAAAGACCAAAGTGACCAAAATGAAATAAAATTTATTTGTGGACTTAAAAAATAATATTTTAAAAAAGAAATAAAGTATAATGTCATGAAAACTTTCATAATAATTTTTTTAAAAATATTTAAAAACTATATAAATACTATTGTATAGTGAAATAAATAATGCATCTAAATCTTGGTAAATAGTACAAACGAGTTTGGGTGAATAATATTTCAAATAGTGTAATAAATAGTAACTTATCGTTTTACTTTAGTTTTTTTTTTTGTTCATATTTCAAGAAACAAATTAATTAGTCTTTTTTGTTTCAAAAATTAATTTTTTAATTTGTGATGTTTTTGTAACTAATATCTTCGTTCCTTTTCATTTTGTTCTGAATTTTTGTTTAAAAAATAAAAAAAAACATGAAAAAATTGATGAGAAAAGATGGTATCTTTAAAAATAAAATAATATTAGATTAAGAGTATAAACTACTAATCAAGAAATTAAATAATTTATTTTTAAAACAAAAAATACTAATTAATTTGTTTCTAAGAAACAAAGAGACTAATTTGCAATTTACTATACTAAAACGACATTAATGGGCTAAGAGGAAAGTTCATTACTCAAACCTAGCTAGCTAGAATGTTCTTGTACCCATATGAAGCATCAACTAATGCATGCATTTTCAACCATTGCTTTCTAGCTAGTGATTTTACTTCATAGAGTGTACTCACAAAATCAGCCGAAAGCTAATAAAATTTCTAAATCCCACTATGTGTAAAGAGAAGAAAGCACATGCATAATGTTAGTCCTGAAATGACCTCACCGCACTTCCATTGCATTACAAATAATATTTGCACTTTCTTATCAGTCAACCACTACCTAATAGCCCTACCTATTAATTAGATAAGGTATAGTATATATCATATCATATATATATCTATACACATTTTTCTTGAGACAAGAGTAGGATTTGAATATTTCAGTCTTTCCTCTGCCTATGAATTGCATGCATGCCTATGATTTCAATATTCAAATTGTTAATTTCTTTGAATTGAAAAACTTTGACTCAACTCAACATCCATTCATGTCCTATACTTTTTTTAAAAAAAATATTCTAAGTATTCTTGCCCTAGTTTTATCATGTAAAAACTTTCAACTAAATTATCTTTATTTATAGAATAAATGGCTCAATCTCGGCTTATTATATAATATTTTGAGTCTCCACTTTTCTAATTATATTTATTATTTTTTTTTTGTATTTCAGTAAAAAAATTTTTGATAAAAAAAATTGTTCACGATAAGAAAAGTTAATCAAAAAACAGATTGAAGACTTAAAATATTATTCAAAAACATAATACATGAAATTAGAAACAAAAAACAGATTGAAAACTCAAATCGTAAAAGCATAAGCAATATAACTTGCATATTCTGTTTTTGAAGTTTTCTTTTTTTGTATTTCGATCAGAAATTTTTTGATTAAAAAATTTGTTTAAGATCGAAAAATAGATTAAAAACTTAAATAGTATTAAAAAATATAATAGATGAAATTAAGAAGATAAAAATAGCCTGAAGACTCACATTACTATTATATAAAAATAGATTGAACTATTTATCTTTATTTATATTGTGTTTTTATGTTCTTTTAAAAATCAAATCTAAATAATGATACAACATTTGGTATTTGTATTTTGGATTAAGCATTAGAAACAGTACTATAAGATATATAATCCTTATAAGTAGCTTTGCGGCCATGGCGCAACAATAGAAAGAAAGAACCAACGTGTGCCACGACAATTTACAAAGCAACTTTGCTTCTCAGGTCAAAAGTTTGCATTCTTTTTGCCATCAATCTTAGGGATATATATATATATATATATATTAGTAATGAAACATTCATATCATGACACGTCTGCTTTGGGTTGCATTATGCTCATGCACAAGCACCGCTGTATCTTTTTTATGTCTTAAAAAGTTGAGTCCACTCATACACAAAATCCGCATTTCAAAGCTACTTGTTCGGGACCCAATAATATATTTCTACAATGGAAGAAGATCGGGTTACTAATGTGTCTTTTCCCTTCCAATTAAGAATGTGATTAACTTTTTTTTTTTCAATTTTGATGTTTAGTAAAATTAATTAGATTAATTTTTAAATCTAAATATTTTTTATTTAACAATAAGGATATTTTCAAATTAACTTACATATCATTTGAAAATAATTCTTCTATTTAGACCAGTTTAAACATACACTTATGAATATATGTGATGCTTTTATAAAAAAATTGAATTTCTTTAAATATCGATCGTAAAATTTTGAATTTAAAAAATAAAAAAATTATGGAACCAATAATTAGTATCTATTTAAAGATTAGATTTTTTCAGATAAAATCTAAAATAGACTATACACACTCAAACTGATTTTTTTCTCCATATTCTTTAAAATTAAAACCCGGAATGATAATTGAGAAACAAACTCATTTAATGAAAGGATGATCATGCGCTAATTAACCATTGTTTCCCCCATAATTTTACGTTGTTATCTTTTTCATTAATTCTTTGTCGACATGTTTGAGATTGGGTTGATTCGTATCATTCAAGCCAATTAGGTGCGTCTGTTATTGGACCACTAAAAAGTCAATTATATTCCTTAAGAGTATAGTGGGTGCAGAAAGGTAAGCTCTTGTAGTATCCTAAATCACCAATTGCTATAAGAAAATATTTTTCTTCTACCTTTTAAGTTTCAATGCAACGATTGTGAAAAGAAAAGAAAAAAAAAAAGTGCCCATTTGGCCAATTGCGTGAAAGTGTCAACTTGAGTGGCTTCAAATTTTTTCTTAAATTATGTTCATTAATCATGGGGAGTTGGTTGAATTGGAGAACGTACTGTATGGATCGACGCAAATAAAAGTTCAAATCTTTCTCTGTGTATGACTTGCTTTTCACCTGATTAGAAATGTTTAGCTAAGTTGTATGCATACGTTAATTGAAAAAAAAAAAAAAAGAAATAAAACAGTCGATTATTATTATTCATTATACTATTTGAAACATTGTTCATCCAGGACTTATTTATACTATTTATCAAGATTCAAACGCACTATTCGTTTCATTATGTAATGATATTTTTATAGTTTTCAAATATTTTAAAGATATTTATTATGAAAGTTTTTGTAACATTACACTTTAGTTGCTTCTTTTTAAACATTACTTTTTTAGTTTGTAAATATTTTTTTGTTTTATTTTGATCCTTTTTTTTTGTTTTATTTTGACCACTTTAATCATTTTTTTCTTTGTTTTTTAATTAAAAATTTTAAAGTAAAAAAATGTTTAGAAAAAATAATTTACAAAATAAGTTTTTAGCTAAGAATCTACCGATTTTGACATTTTTATACTATTATAAATTTTTTAGTTTTTGAATAGAGATAAATAAATAATATTTTTTTAATTAAGAATTTATGAAAAATATAAAAAATAATCAATTAAATACAAAATATTAATTATAAAATTAAATGAATTTTTATTAATTTTTGATTTAATATATTTTGATATATGCTTAATATAACACTAAATATCTAACCAAAATAATATTTTAAAAATAATTTTATATATTATATATGATCTACAATGATCAATGTAACGCGACAGTTTAACGCGAGTAAAAAAATTAGTCTCACCTGTAAAAAAATTGTCCAAAGCAACGAGGGCAAACTCGAGGTAGAGGGGGAGTACATGTGTGAGGATTACGTCCTCACTTTCTAACAATGAATTTATGTAGTACTTTGGGAAAATCATAGAGTAGGTAGGCTAAATATATGATCACATGGTCTCACTGACCCTTGTTTAAATTACTTCCCCATAATTTAACTAATAGAGGATCTTCATATCTTGTGGTCAGTCTCTAATGATGCCTTAATCAGAATTAATCACTTTATTAAATAGATTAACACATCTCTTCCAATGAGTCTAATGCCAGAAGAGCATTACAGGAATTGAATATCAAAAACACACCTCTGATGAAAACAAAAAGGGTTGTCAATGGGCCATTCTACATAGAGAGAGGATGATGAGATAGGCACTTAGAGAAGTAATGAGAATGGTTGGGACCTGGAAGAATGTGCATTTCAAGTCAAATTCTAAGAAGTCAGGTGAGGCTTGAAGGAAACTAACAAGAAGGCATGTGAGTGGGGTATAGATTTGTAGCCAATATAAAAGCCATAAAAAGTCCTAGATTTGGTAAGGCAGTGAGGCATCCATGCTTAACAGGATGAAAATTAAGAATGAGCAAAACATAATTGATTGCACTTGAGTCACTATTCTTGGTTTTTTCTTTCTAGTTCACCCCTTTTCTTTACATTAGTTTGTTCTTGAGGTTACCTAATTACTTGTTGGAGCATAGAAACTTCAACGTTGTCACTTTCGTTACAATACTCGTATTTTGTACTAGATAAGCCAACCTAATTAAAATATAGTTAATTATGTTTGTATCGACAAAAAACCCAAGCATGGAAGTATAAATTTAAAACCACCACTCACTTGTTAGTAGATAAATATAATTATTTTTATGATCAATAATTAAGAGATTCATCGAGTTTTGAATTGCATAATAGTAGTCTTCCTATTTCAATTCCAAAATTCCCATTCACCTGGCTGAAACCTCCTAATGGATATTTATTCCTTCTTTTTAAAAATAAGTGCTGTGCCAATAAGGGTTTTATAGGAAAAATTCAAATCCTCGAGGCCAAATTTGAACACAAAACTAGGCAGTTTCTGCAATTAATTATACATAAACAGGACTTGAGAGAATTTTAAAAAAATGGAAACTAAGAATTCTTTGGGGGCAGAGACACTAAAAGAATAAATTAAAAAGCACCTTTTTGCTTTGATTGCGAAGAAATCAATAAGAGATATCCTGGAGATTTGTCCCATGACAAATTCACAACTAAGAAAGGATTATCATATGGCAAAGATGCTCAAAATATCCTTTACATACGATCCTAGCTACCTGAGATTGTTCACATTTGATTAAAAGAAAATCTTTCAAGGATGATCATGATCAACTATAAAACACAAGTCTTTACAGATATGTAGGCTGATGGTTTGCTACTATTAAAAATCATGGATTCATGGTGAGTATACTTTTCTTCCACTGAGTGAAGTTGTTGATTAATTAGTCAATTTCTTATGGATTTGATATATATCCTCTCATGTTTTTTAGAACATGATTTATCATTTTTATCAAATCCTAGCCTTAAAATTGAAATCAATGGTTATGATTCGATCGCACAACTTTCTAAAAAAAGTACTTGAATTAGAATGGAAATAATGCATGATTTCATTATATATATATATATATATATATATATATATATATATATATTACACTATATGTTTCCACACATAAGAAAATATTTCCAAGTCTGTTTATTTTTTTCTCTCTTTCGAAAAAACAAAAACACTTAACAAGAGCCTCATGGAAAAGCTAGCCTTTAATTTAAGACAGCAACAATTTTCATTTTCTTAGATCATTTAAATCAATGGTCATGACAGGATTAAATTTTTTTTTTAATACTTAAAACATGATTGATTCCAGCCTGATAGAATCATTTAATTTTTAAATTTCATCGAAAGTTTGAGGTTGTTAACATCAATATATTTTTTTCCATGAAATTAAATTTTTTTTTTAAAAAAAAGGACAGAAAATATTCTAAAGATTTTCCTTTAAATAAATGGGGCATATGCTTATATAATTGTATGGATATACGTGCATGATGAGAGCAATAAAATTAATGATAAATGGGTGATTAAACCCCAACAAAATCTCCAAAAACATAATTTTACTTTCATCCACTAATTAAGGGGGCCAACTAATATAAAAAATAAATAAAAATAAGCGTGCATCTTTTTGGATTTAAATGAGAGGATATCGAGAGAAGATTGAGCCGAGATTTGCCCTAACAAAACTAGGGACCATTTGGTGATTAGGTTGCTAATTGTCTTAATTGTACGTGGAGCAAGGTTAAACAATAGTTTTGCAATAAAAAAAAAGTTACCAAACAATGTGCTCCTACTTGATTTGCCAATCACCCAAACATGCCTTTTATATCATCATATATCTTCTCTCTCTTCTATCTATATAAACATGTCAAGGACATTAATAGTGTGCGTTTTGCTTCCTCTAATCCATTCTCCATCAGCTTCCACCTCTCGATCTCTTCACAGAAACATTAACTTCTCCATTGCTGCTCTCACTTTTCAGGTCAGTTTTTTGCTCTTATTTTTCTCATGCTACGATCGATTGTTTGAGCTTGCTTCTATGTCATGGCTGAATATTATCTCTCTGTGTATGTGTATGCATGGCTTTATATTTGTACATTTCTCAAGTTTGTTTGGTGAGAAAGACATGAATGAATGGATGATAAACACCATATTGAAAGTAGGGTTCACATTTTAGATACCTTTTTTACATTTCTTCTGTGTACAAAAGTAGTATATATTGCTATGTACGGAGCATTTTTCATGAGAGGCAAGTGTCAAGAATACATACACCAAATTATGAAAACCATGAGGCAGTACTACCATGGAAATGCCAATTTTAATTGTTTGTTAATTTTTTCTTCAAAAAGAGCATGACCTATACAGGCCAGGTTTCTCTCTCCCTTTAATTATCAGAGTTTTTTTTTTTTTTTTTTCAACAAATAATTGGGGAGATGGTGTTGAGTGAGCGTGTATGAAGTAGGACCATGCCAAATTGTTGCTGATCAATGGAGAGTCAATGTGTATCCAACTTTTGCCAAGTGGGTTTAATTTATTTTTAATTTCTTTGATTTTCTTTTAAGAGAAATGGTTTTGTCTACAATTAAGAGAGAGATGAGTTTCTGATGTATGTTTATATTTTTAGTTGAGTTAATTCTATTTTTATAAAATAAGTGGGTATCTAATATATTATTATGTTACTTTTTGAGTTTAAATTAACATAATTATTTATTTGCTTTAATATTATATATAAAAAAAAATAGCAACTTCAATAAGATCATCAAAAAATGAAAAAAATGAAAGGGGAAGAGGGTGGTTTAAAAATAGGAGTATGTTTTTAAGTCTAAGGACCAAACTATGATCCTAAACACATCAAATTTCATAATTTTTTTTTGGTCATACAACTCCAGTTTTGTAGTACTTCCAAATAGCCCTTGGTAATTTCTTTTCTTCCAATTTGGCCCATATTTTGGTGCCATAACTTTGATGTTTACAGCTCCCTTTCCTCCAACCGTGGTATTGGAACATATATATATATATATATTTTGGATGATTAATTAGGTTAGAAACTTTTCAGAATTAAAACCCATGACCCTGCTAAAAACACCATTTAAGTTAAAACTAGCTGCGTGTCAAAAGTTGGCACCCCATATAATGACAATTTTATGAAGAGATCTTATAAATGCTAAAGTACTGATGACAGTTCAATCTTTGTGCATTTCAAGACTGCAAATAATTGTCTTCGTTTGGCTGCATTAACTAGGATTTCTTAATCTGTAACGTTCAATCACGAAGTGGCAAACTTCTTCTATACCACCCGTTTTGTTATTTTTTTTTTTTTAATTACACGTAGAAATATACTTTGAGTTTTATCATTTGTTCAAAAATTTAAAAAAAAAAAAAATTGAGGTTTACCTTGTCTCTTTGTTAAGTGAGAGAAGCATTCAACACTCCCAAGAATATTAAAAATTGGATTAGTGAATAGATCTGCTGCCAACCCCATTAGTGCTCGTGTGGGTTGTAATCTATATCTTGATTAGTGAAAATAGATGCCTTTGCCAGGTAGGAATCTCAACCCTTTTTTTTTTCTCTGAAAAATAAAATAAAATAAAGAAACCAACCTTTGAAATTTAAAAGATCATTATATATAGATCTCGTTGAGATGAGATATGCCACATAAAACCAGCACATTCATAGTCCTTAGCTTATCCCTGGATGCTTGTCTTCAAATGGCACACCAATATAGTAGTGGAGGCATATAAAGCAAATACCAAGGTTGTCAATATTTCCTTGTCCCATCAACCACACAAAGTAAGGTTTATGTATAAATATAACGTTATGATGATAAAATTACATATTTAAGGTAGCAAACAAGCAAGGAGATTTGTTCTTCGATCTAGTCGAGATCGATTTGCCCTTCTTTGCATTATAGAGTATAGACTAGAGAAAGTAATGGGATTTAAATCAGATATTCAATGTGCAAATACAGGAAAAATACGGTAGTAACTATATATATTTTTTGAACATGAATCTAATTACATTTAATGACATAATCTCTATTATAAGATGAAATAATTAATAAAGAATCGATTATAAACTTCCTTATCATTAAAAGTAAAAAGGTTTTGTTAAATGTTTTTCAAGTATATCTACCATTACTATTGATATGAATAGGCTAAGACTTTTGTACATCCATTGTTTTGTATTGTTTGTCATTACAATCAAGTATTTGCACATCACACATGGTGGGTCTCAGTAAAAAAGGTTTAGATTTTACTGAAAATCAAAATATCTCTTTGTGCACTTTTAGGATTATGAGTCCTATGTATTTATCATTTGGCCATAAATAATGCTTTTTTTTTTTTTTCATTAATTGATAAGGTTGTTACCTTATTTTTCTTTCTATTAACTACATCAAGTCCCTATTGAATTTGAATATTTCATATCTATATTTTTAAGTACAATATCGATATTTGTTATAAATTGATTCGAGTAAAATAATTAAAAAAATTAAAAATTAATGTAACTATTTAACCAATATGAACATGTACAATGTAGCAAACCTTTTGTTGATCACTAATTTTTTTTGGTCTATTGTACAATGATTTTTGGTAACTTTCCTTGACTCCAAAATAGTGAAAAAAAAAAAAAAAGTTTCTTCTTCTCATAGGATTAGTTATCAGGGAGACAAAGCTCATTTCATTGGGCAAATAGAATAAGGTCACTTCTTAGGGATATATTTATATCATGGACCCACTAACAAACACAAAACATCACTCTATCCAAATCAAACGGTTGATAAAGTAAAAAAGTGTAGAAAACTTGATAGATTGTGACACTAAAAAGAATTTTCTCTTTCTCTTTCTTTTCTTTTTTTCCTTTTGATCCTGACTAAAAAAAGGGTTCAGAGGCATCTAAAGATTGGAAAAAAAAAAAAAAACCACCGTATCCTCACTTTTGATTTTGTTTATGTATGATTTGACATGATGCATCACCAATATTGATAGAAGCTAGTCTATGATCCATCTTATCATTTCGTTTTCATTCCCAACCTCTAGAAAGAGTCTCCTCCTTCTCCACCACCCACCACCCACCACAGCCACCACAAAATCCCATCACATCCGTACAGTTTGAGACACTGCCCTCTTCACCTCACAATGTAGTGTATGGCCTTAGTGATCTTTATAAGATCAGACTCCACATTGAACAATGTGAGCATGAGTTGATTCTTAGATCAAATCATCTTATTTTTACTAGCAGCTGGGTCTCCTTTTGTTTCAAGTAATGAGAAATTACATCCCCTTCATGATTTTTCTTGTTTTTTTTTTTTTTTCAAATTTAATGATTAAAATATTTTCGGATCATTTTTTTATTATTTTGATATGGAGATCAAATTCTTCTAAAATCTAATTATAGTAAGAGAATTGAGTGTCTAATTTTAAGAAATTACTAGGATGTAATTTGTAGTTTCTGTACAATATCTATATCGGTTTAAAAACTCAAAATAGCAGGAAAACAAAATACTCTAGGCTTGACCATAAAAGATCCTCAATAAAGTAAACTTCACCAAAAAAGACAAAACACATTTGTGAAAAAATAAAAACAAAAACAAAATGGTTTTCCTGTTGAAGCAAAACCATTTAGACATAGAGGAAAGCAAAAAAACTGAGGATTGGATTTTGTAGAATCGGAAAGAAAGAAACTGAAAGCTATATATGACAGTAAATGGGAACCAATAAAGATACCTTTTTTCAGTCAATGAAAGATATCATGCCAAGTTTTCATGTAATCATAGAATCCAAAGTCTCTATCTGTTCATCTTTCTATTTCATCTTTTATTTTGTAGGTTTTTTACAGTCCTCTTATTGCATTCTGTGGATTTATCTGGCAGCAAGACAAGAACCCCAAAACCCGGAAATGTGTAATAAAAACACAAAACAACAAAAGAAAACAGAAAACTAGAAAAACCCAGAAACAGTCTTTCTCTAGTCTCTCCTTCTTTACTAGCTCTGAAAATTCAATCTTTAATGCAAAAAACACACAAAACCCAAGATTTTATAGGCTTTAATTAAGTGATAAGTACAGCTGAGTGAGTAATCGCTTTCTCTTTTCAGTGTCTCTTTTTAGCTAGCTACCTAGTGTGTTTTATGTGTTGTGTTGTTTCCCTAGCACTGCCTATAGCTTCTTAGGTTTGCAGAAGCTGTTGGGGAGTGTTGTTGTGCCTATAACTATACCACTTCTTGTAGTATCGCACAGCCTGTATTGGTTGGTTAGTTGGTTGGTTCTTTTCTGTACTTTATGGTTTCTCTAGTAAATTTCAACATTTAATGCCCTTTTAGAAACTCCCAACAAAAACTCAAAAACAAAAACAAAAACAAAAACAAAAAACCATGCTTTAGTGCTGTGTTAGTCCATATGACCTTACTTAAATGCCTGTAATTAAGTGTGCGATTCTAGCTGTTGTTTTTTTTTAAAAAAAATTGAATTCTTTGGTTTAAATTTCGTTTCTTTTTTTCAGAACGTTTGATTTGTTTAGTTATTTTTTAATTTGCTCCATTGGATTTCGTTGATATAGTTAAACCAGTGTCCTTATGCTTTGCTTTATTTTTTATTTTTTGGCTTTTGTGTTGCAGAGGGAAAGGAAAGACTGCTGCTTTGCTGCCACATTACTATCATGGCACACAAAAGAGAATGAGCGTCGCTGCATTTGTTGCTGAAACAACAGCCAACACTAGTTTTCTTGTTTATTGGACCTAGCTATAGCAGCCACTCGTGTTTGATGCTCGTGCGCTTGCAAAATAAAGTAAAGATTGAAACCTAATCACTCCCATTATCCAGATCTCGAGACCCTTTTAACCATTGGTGATATTGACATTTGTTGCACCTTTCCTTCGTCCGCCATTTTCTCTTATAAGCCAACCATTTGAGTTTGGAATTGTGTTTCAATACATAGCACTTGAGGAGCATTGGTTTTGATGGGTTGTTTTAAATGTGCTCAAAGGTGTGAATGTTGACTCCTGAGGTGTTACACAAGCCACAATCAGAGGAGGGGTCGGTGATTGATAGTGGTTTTTGTAGTGGAGGTGTTGGTTACTTTGCATGGAAACCAAGGTACCAGTTACTAGGAGCTTTGGTCTTTGTTTGTTTCATTTGATTATTGTTGTTATTTCCGGATTTTAGGTGTCTTAATTTACATATATTATATATATTTGCTTTGGGATCTATCGTATATTGGTGGTTCAGAACATGCTTATCAATAACTTGTCACTTTGTTATTAGTGGTGTTGATGTTAGAAGTTGGTTCCTAGTACTTGCCCATGTATTTGATTGAATTGAATATCCGGTTTAGTGTCTTGCTGCTAATTATATTATTTTGCATATTTTATAGAGTGAAACTCGGTCCGTGAATTGTGGCATTTGTGGGTTTATATAGGGGGTTGTTAGCACTTGATATGGTTACTAGAAAAGTGAGTGTTGAGGACAGTGTTTTTTGATGTGGAATATTGGTCTTAAGTACTTGAAGAGATGCTGAGCTCTGATGAAGGAGAGGGTGATTTGTTCTATGATTCTGTAGATTACTTGGAATTGGGGTGTTATCAGTTAGAGTATGATATTTGGTTGAAGGAGCCACAGAGTGTCGAGGAGAGACGCCAAGGTTTTCTATGCGGAATGGGTCTAGATGGGTTTGCTTCCAAAAGGGATGAGAATATTGGGCTGGACAGGATCACTGAATGCAGTGGGGCTGTATCAAGTTCTTTAGTTCAATGTACAAATCTTGAAGAGGTAAATTTGGTTAGTTGTAGTGCTGGTAGAGAAGAAAATTTTGAAGCCAATTGTATGGCAGATGAGATGAGTAAAGACAGGATGGATAAACTGGATGTAGCTTCTGTAAACGAGAATGCTGGACCTTCACTCGATTTGCAAGGATGTGAACAATGTGAAGAAGAAAAATGTAAAAAGTTCGATTCAGGAAAAAGTAAAAGGAAGAGCTGGTGGAAACTCGTTTTGAAAAAGGGGAAGGAAAGAGGAGGTAGATGTGCATCTGAGGTGTCTAATTTGGATACTGCAGCACCACAAGCAAACAGAACGAAGGTGAAGCAGAACAAAAAGGGGTGCATGGAGTTTTCAGGGGTATATATGGGACAGGAAATTCAAGCTCACAAGGGCTTCATTTGGACAATGAAGTTTAGTCCAGATGGGCAGTATTTGGCAACTGGGGGTGAAGATAGGATTATCCGCATTTGGCGTGTTACTTCAGTTGATTCATCGTGCAAGTCTTTCATATCTGAAGGAAATTCCGACAGCCATCTGAACGAAGACAAGTCCAGTTTGAGTCCAAAGAAGAGAACGCATTCATCTGTTGTCATTCCTGAGAAGGTTTTCCAGATTGAAGAGACACCGTTGCAAGAATTTCATGGTCATACCAGTGAAATTTTAGACTTGGCATGGTCCGATTCAAATGTAAGTCCATGTCTATCCTTTAAAAACTCAGTTTGGTTTACATCGTTATCATAATAATAAATCTGATGTCAGTAGCTATCAAGCTAAATTGGTAACTTCTGTTGCAGTACCTTCTTTCGTCTTCTATGGATAAAACTGTTCGTTTGTGGCGAGTGGGTTGCAATTATTGTCTGAATGTTTTTCGCCACAGTAATTATGGTAAATTTGAGAAAACTTCATCCTCTTGTTTCTTTAATCTGTGATTTTATCATAATTTTTGCAAATCTTTTCTTTGTTTTCCCCAAGTTCCACGTGAATCTGTTATGTGTTAATGAATTCTAAGCTGATTTTGTTTCATTTCTTTGAATGGCACAGTAACATGCATTCAGTTCAACCCTGTTGATGCAAACTATTTCATTAGTGGCTCCATTGATGGGAAAGTTAGAATTTGGGGACTGTCTGAGAAGCGAGTTGTTCACTGGGTCGATGTACGAGATGTAATATCTGCCATAGGTTATCAGCCAGATGGGAGAGTATGTTTCTGATTCGTATTCTTTATTATACTCCATCCAATTTTTCCATATTGCAAGTTTACACTTCAATCATTGCTTACCTTGTTTCATTGTTTGTTGCAAGCAGGCGTTTGTAGTTGGTAGCATTATAGGCACTTGCCGTTTCTATGAAGTATCAGGTAAATACTTCTTCTATGTGCTGGTGCTTTCCCTTTTTTTTTTTATTTTTTTGTTATGTTGAACCTCGATTCATCCTTTCCTAGAGTAGTCTAAATTTTTTATTTTTTTTTATGGTGTAAAGGCACTGATCTCCAGCTTGAGGCAGAAATACATATTCATGGCAGAAAGAAAAACTCTGGCAACAGAATCACTGGCATTCAGGTTTTACGCTTGAATCTTTTTTCATTAGAAAGCTGAGCTTGCCCTGATCTTGTTCAACATTAACATTCAATATCATCCCTCTTTCAGTTTTCCCAGGAATTATGTCCAAGAGTTATGATCACCTCTGAAGATTCTAAAGTTCGTGTATTTGATGGGGTTGACATCGTCAATAAATTTAAAGGTAAAATTCTTTTTAGGTGTTATCTGAGACCACTTGCTAATTTGTTTCTGATATAAATTTACTGTTTTGAAGTGTCATTTCATCTTATTTTCTCTAATGAAAGAAGATAGTCGTGATCAGTCTAGCTTTCTGGAGAGCCATGTGTTGTTGAAAAATAGATTGTACATGTTAGTTTTAAAGGCCTAAAGTGTCTAGTGGGAGGCTCTTTCCTTAGAAACATGTTTAGCTTTCTGTGGTTCTTGCTTTGGTAGCATCTGCTCAGCATGATCCGGCATGACATCAAATAATTGCACAACCTTCTAGTTTTCATTCTTTTATTATTCCCGTAGAATAGTCTCATAAGAATCAATATTTTTTTCAGTATTAGAAAGGATCTCCAAGTCTCTTCCATGGCCGCTGTTTTATGAGTTTTCAATGCATTTCCACTTTGTTTTGTACATGACCTTTTCGTTTTTGGCTGGAGAAGAAGCACCTGGAAACTAGGCTTTACCCATCTTTGGGTTGTATCAATATCTTGAGCTTTCACAAACATCAATGTCCGTTTTTAGCCGACTTTGGAATTGAGCGCCTCTTTTACTACTAGACATTCATGAATACATTGCATCTAACTATCTGCACAAATCTGCTTGCGTTCCTGATTCCACTGGCGTCAACAGCTGTAATCGTGTTGGATAAGAATATCATTTACCTTGTTGCATGGATCTCTCATTCTTGGCCATCTTATCTGCATTTTTTATTGCATGCACTTTACTGGTACAGTGAATCCAACTCATTTGAGTAACTTGAGCTGTTTTAATTTATCGTATTTCAATGCATATTCATTGTTTGTTCTTTGTGGTCCAGTTATGCTAAATCAGTATTTTTTTTTTTATTGATTATTATAGGTCTTCCAAAGTCAGGAAGTCAGATGTCGGCTTCGTTTACTTCAAATGGGAGACATATAATCTCGGTTGGAGAGGACTGTCGCGTTTATGTATGGAATTATGATGGCTTGTGCACCCCATGGTCTAAACACATAAAATCTGTGAGGTCCTGCGAGTATTTCTTCTCTGAAGGTGTGTCCGTCGCTTTGCCTTGGTCAGGCACGGGAACAGAAGTGAGAGGCTTAAGCAGTAGTAGTCTCCAGAGTTATGCGCAAACAGAAGAGAATGCTTCCTGGAGGAGGGATTCAGAACGTTTTTCTCTTGGCAGTTGGTTCTTCATGGATGGCCGATGCAGGGGGAGCTCTGCGACATGGCCTGAGGAGAAACTTCCGATGTGGGATGTGCCAGTTTTAGAGGCTGAGCATGAAAATCAGCAAAATGAAGAGCTTCATCAACAGCAGTCCGCTAACACCAATGCCTACGTCTCCTTATCAGATGCATGGGGGCTCGTGATTGTGACTGCAGGATGGGATGGAAAAATCAGGACTTTCCACAACTATGGATTGCCTATCATGCCCAAGTAAATTCAAGCAATCTTCCTGTTCTTGCTAGTGAAGTTGACTCAAGTCTTACGTTGCAAGATGACACATGGTGTCATCCAAATTTGTGCCGCCTTGTGATTTAGCGAGGGCAGCTTTAAATGCGAGGCCTACTACGTCTTGTTGTAAATGTTCCTTGGTCTAGTTCTTGTACTCGGCCTTTTTCTTGGTAGAATATCCTCAAATCTGTGGTCATGCTCTGAGTCATGCCGCACTTTTTTCCCCCTTTTTACCCTCATTTTGTGAATGGTTAACGTAAATATGCTATGACAAAGAAATACCGACAATTTTTTATTTTGTTCGGTTTGCTTCATCTTTTTTCCCGCCAAAAGTCTTTGCTTGAACGGTATATAAAAAGGGAATTTCTTCATGTCATGGTAATGCTTGTAAGCAATATAATTGGTTATTGTGCGTGGTTTTTGAGGAGTGATCAAATAATGATCAGCAGATCAGTCTATAATTAAGATATAAAGAAGTAATGTTATAATTTGTAAATGCAATAGTCAATCAATCAAATAGATTGAATGTAAATAATGAAAGGTGTAGATGAAAGAGTAGGTAAGGCTAGCACGGTATAAAATGGAAGATAAATGAGTGGTTGAAGTTTAAATGGATGAAGTTTTAAATGTCGTCTTATTTGTGAATAAGAGAGAGTAGAGATTTTTGTTAGGGTTCAAGAAGTTAGAATCTTTCTTACAATGATGTGAGGTTGGTGTTTATAGTGAAATAAGGATGATATTTGACTCCTATAATTGTACCACTTTATTTATATTTAGATGGTCAGATTTCAATTGAAAAAAGTCTTTTTTTCTCTAACAAAACTAAATTGTTTTAATTTGCTAGCAAAGGTGTAACCCTCGTAAAATTCGTAATCGTATAAGTGTATGTATCAAGATATTTATATTCGTATGTATATATATAATATATCGATTACGTACGTGAAAATCTATAACTAGATCAACATATGTATTGGAATATGCGGTATTTACGTTTTGTTGAGAATAACGGGTGTACATACAAAAAAAAAAACATTGGGTAAATTAGTTACAAAATTTATTTTATATGGAATAAGTATAGATTATTATTAAAAAAAAAAAAAGTGCTAATTGTCGAAATTTCGATAGGAATTCTGAAAATGTAGTTAATTGAATTACCCTTATTTAATCACATTTTGACCCCTACTTTTTACAAATTTCCATTGACCATCACCTTGAAATTTAAACCTATCCTTTCATTAATTTCAGCCACATTTACCTTGCATTTCACCATAATCTCTTGACACTTGTAATGAACATTGAATTGATGAGATTAGGTGAGATATTTAAGTAAGAAAAAATGGGATAAGGATGCATTTTGGTGCATCCCGTAGCTGCCTTAAAACCAAGAAAGAAAGAGTCAAAGAGAGGGGAGAAAGAGGAAAAAAGGAAAGGAAAAGGAAGGGGAAACTAAAAGGAAACAAAAGAGATTTTAGGAAAGTTAATCCAATGTAAGTAGGTTTCATTTTTTTTTTCTTGCTTTGTTTATGCTTTTCATGTTTATTTTGTGAGTTATTTAATTCATGTGAAGTGTGATTATGGTATTTTTGATGATTTTAAACACTTGTTGTTTGATGATGGATGATTAAACATGTGTGATGAGAAATGTGCTTGAAGAGAAGATTTTTGGATTTTGAGGGTGGAAAAACCCGAACTTGGTGTGATTTATTTCGGGATCTTAGAGTGATTTTTAGGAAACATGCAAAGAATGAAAGTTGTTGATATATGTGTCTACTATGTCTCTTTAAAATTTCGTGACTTTTAGAGATATATATATGGAGTTATGACTGAATTGGTATGGATTGTTCAAATGGAACCTCTACTGGAAAAATATTTCATTCCGAAAGTTGTGCGATTTATTTCGGGATCATAGAGTGGTTTTTGGGCAGAACTCAAAGAAGGAAAGTTGTTCATCTATGTGTCTACTTTATGTATCTAACATTTCATGATTTATAGATCTGTATGTAAGGATTTATGACGGATTTGGTATGGGTCGTCGAATGGACCAGCTACTGGAAAAGTTTATTTAGTTCCGAAACTTGTGTGAATTATTTAAGGATTTTAGAATGATTTTTGGAGGAAACTTAAAAAATGAAAGTTGTTGATCTATATGTCTAATATCGCCCCTTAAAGTTTCGTGAGTTTTAGATATATATTTAAGGAGTTATGGCTGGTTTGGTATAGGTTGTTTAAGTGTGCCACTGCTGGAAAATTTTAACCTAAAATAAATGGGCTTGGACTAATATTAATGGGCTTGGACTTGAATTAAAATGAGATGGGCTTGGATTTAAAAATAAAGTGGACTTAGATTAAAACAAATGGACTTGGGCCTGGATTAATGTTAATGGGCTTGGACTTAAATAAAATAAACTGGGTAATGGACTTGGACTAAAATCAAGAGGCTTAATTTTAAAGTAGATGGGCTTAGACTAACGAAAATGGGCTTAGGCTAAAATAAGTGGACTTAGATAGAAATAAAAAAAGGATTTTAAAATTCTAAAGAAAATTTATTCTTTCAGAGAGGAATTATAAAAAAAAAAAATTGGACCTTCTTTAATTATTAATAAAACTAATAAACAATATTAATGAGCGGATATTGAATTTTCGCTATGAGTACCATGAATGGTATGTGAGCGCCGAGTGAATTCCGAGTGATGGTTGGACCGTGAGTATGGCTTAAGAAAGAAGGGCTGGTACCCGACATTGGTTTAATGTGATTAAACATGTCATCACGTGCATCATGTGCATTGGGGGTGGAAATAAATTGAGAAAAATCATTGAGTCTTGAATTGATACGGTTTGGTAACCGAATTGAGTGGATTGGGTAATAGCAAGGAATCCATAGTGCGAGCTCTATTTACTAACACCGTTAGCGAGGGATAATTCCGCTAACCGTGTGCTATAACGAGGGAGAATTCCGTTGCGAGCGATAGGTGATATTGAGATCACCGAGAGAAAGTAATAGAGCGAGTAGGTGATAACATGATCACCGAGAGATTTGGCGCACGGACTTGCATATACCTAGGGTACCCGGATTAAAATGGATGAAAATATGAAAAACACAATAGCATTGCATATCACGTGCATCACCCTACTTACCGAGCTTTGGCTCATTCTGTTATTGTATTTATGTGTTGTTCGAGCAAAGGCAAAGTTAAGCCGATCGAGGATGCTACCGGTTCTCGCTAATAAAAGGCTCATGTGTCACTCATAAAAATAGAAATATCTTTTGTGTCATTAAAGGGATACGGGCCTAGGTTGTAAATTTTTAGGCATTTTGAATATGTTATAAATTATAGAACTATCCGTACTAATGTTGTAAATTATATCATACGTTTTCCATGGTTTAGTTTCGTTGTGTATAATGGAGGAAGTAGGGGACTTAGTCCCAACGAGTGTGTCGCGCCGGTCACGCTTGTTAGGTAATAGGCAAGGGAGCGGGGCGTCACAAAAGGTTAGATAAAGTCAGTTGGTGTTCGATAAAATTGAAAACTAAGTGTTGAATCTATTAAGTACCGAATATATTCGTTGAAAAACTGTTTGATATTTACTGAAAATTAAGTGCTCGAATATAATAAGATTGTTTGATAAGTACCGTTGCTTGAACATATTAAGACTATATATATGACAATTTTAACCTTGCAATTATAACGTGATATTTTTTAATACAAATAAAAATATATACATAATTGTGTTTGTGTGCATAAATAAATAAATAAATAAATATTCAATAAAAATATTATTAATAAAAAAATTAAACAAGAGGGTAGGTGTTATCATTTGGTGGTGGGTTACGTCCAACGAATCGATTTGCAACGGATTCCATAGATGGATGACCATAGGAAAAAGGCTTGTCAACCGGGAGTACACTAGCACAATAACCTCGGCACCACATAGAGCCACTAACTTACTTGCTTTTTGTAGATCCCATATCTATGTTTTGAGAATGTGATTAACATGTCATCTTTGTTTTCTATCCTTTTTATTATGATCTTTTGCCTACCTTTGGTTTGCTTGCTTGCTATTAAGAATGAACAAAGCTTTTGGACTAGACACCAACAAAAAGGAAGAGATATGATAATGGAGAAAGTCTTATCTCGTTTCGGATATGAGGATAGTATAGATCATTTCTCAATCGGTTTGTATAGCTAGGGTTATAAGAATATATGAGGGCTATCTAGTCATATTTAAAAAATTATAAAAAATTTTCAACTGAAAATGTTAATAAAAAAATTTAACTTATCTAATTAAGTAGATTTTGACTGAATTTAAATTTTAAATATGAGATTATTTATATTATCAAACAAACTTTTTATATTAAGCACTATAACTTAATTTTTTAAAACTACTTAAATAGGTTATTCAACACACCTTAACAATTAAGTCTTTTTTCAGTAGACGCTACTTTGAACCCCCAAGCCCATCGTGCTAATGTACTCCAAAAAAAAAAAAAGGGGTAGACACTAGCCCTAGAAAAATATTTGTGTCTATTTTTGCACGTCTCAAGATCATTGTGCTAAGCGAGATTTATGTTCAACCCAATCCATATCTTGTGTAGTATGGTCTGATATCAAAATCATGAAAAACAATATGGATTAACACAATAAAATTAGCTAAATTAATTTAATTAACTTTAGAAAAAAAATTGAGCATATAAATTTTCCTCCTTGCATAGATAGCCTTACTAACAAAGGTGGTCGTAAAATCATATATAGAGAGATAAAAAAATAAAAAAATTTAAAAATAATTATGGTAGACTTGTCTTGAGTCTTTTATTGGATACCAAGTAAACGAGTGAAAAGTGTTAGAATATTTTTTATTAAAATATTAATTGTATTAAAAATAAAAATAAATGAAAAAAATGTTTCAAACAGTTACATTTTAAACAAAAGACCAACGGTCTTTTTCATTAATTTTGTAACACTTTTTCATTGAATTTTTTTAATTTTC